ATTTATCTCGTTGCTACAACACGCACTCAAGCATGTGTAAACAACTCGTATTTACAGTTGACCTTTAAGGTTTCAACTGTTATTTCGTATTTTACCCGCTAATTACGACACTGTGACTGATTTCCAGTTAACAGTGACACTGCGTTTCACAACAAGAGACAGCTATATCTGCTCTGTTGATTACCGAAAATTTTCCAAAATCGTAGTACGATGGCTACTCCGCTAACTCGGATACGCCATATTTACAAAAATTCGACATTTTTACGAAGATTCAATATTAAAGAACGGCTAAAAATACACTGCGAATTTTCGCACGTTTGACTTACAATTCCACTCAGCTAATCCTGCTGGTTCTGCCGTTCAAATTCACGTAGTCTTTCTGGCTTGCCCGGTTCAGAAAAGAAAATGAAATGAAAGGAAATTTTGACCTCGAATGGTCTTACGGTGCTTTTTCAATCATAGACACGTAAAGTGCCGCATACACGAACAGTTTTCAAGTGCCTATACTGTTCTCAGTCCGTATTGTCACCCAAAATATATATCGCTAAGTGCGAATCAATCTATACATCAATCAAACCGGGGGACTCGGTTACCCTAGGTCAGAACTGGAACGCAGACCTCCTGCACCACACTAGTGGCTCCTAACGGACTTTCTTAAATGTGGGCTCTCTCGAGTTGACCACCAACCATCCTGCACCATCAATTTAATTGTACTATCAAATTAAATTAAACTTTCTGCTCCATCGGGAAAGTTTGAACCACGGTGGGCGCCATGTCGTGCAATAAGGAAAAAGTAAAAATAAAAATAAAGAGGTTGCACGGTGGAAATATGCACTTCCCGGACCACGACCAGTCGGAGGAATAGAGCGACTCTTAATCTCAACTTCTTATGTATTTCATGGAGCGAAAGTTAAGGATGTTGATGTACAAGTATGAGATGATATGCAAGGATGAAGAAGAGGATCCGGAACTCGAAAGCCTGCTGAAAGAGAAGACACGAAAGGAAACACAAGGGATGCGTGAAGTTATACGTTACCTGTCCGACGCTAGATGGTAGCCGAAGCGTATGAGTATGACAAATCCATCAACCTGGCGCTACAGGGCATGAAGATCGAAGAGACCGAAAGGTCACGGCAAACAAGTGGGATCAAGTGGGTAGCCTGTTACGTCACGAGACTATCCGAAGATGATAATGCACGTCGACGAAGTAGAGGAATGACCCCTGACAATAGGTGAAAGGTCACCCAGAGGTCAGTTTGAACAGCCTCACTTGGAAAGAGAAGACCAGAGCAAAAGCCTGAAGTTAATCAGATCGAGTAACAAGACTCTACTTTTGTTGGGATTACAACTCTTGACATTTGTGTGGGCGACGAGCGCCTTATATAGCCCTGGGCACTCGCAGGTGCTGGCTCTTCGTACGCGCAGGTACGGGTCTGAGAACAATAGGGATTTAGAGTCTAACCAATAAGAGACATCTAAGGACACGTGGACTAATCACACCGCTGCACAACTACACGTGGACAAATGAGAACATGAGGTCAACTAATACACTAGAACAATAGGTTGAGCTACGTCATCGAAGCGCGGTCACGTCGAAATGGCAAGTCGCGGTCAAAGTTCTCTGCTGGGGATTTCTAAGAAGTCAACACTCGGAGTCGCGGTCATGACTCGCGTGGAAGATGTAGTAAAGCCTAAGCCTTAGTAGTAGGGGTAGAAGTAGTAAAGTAGTACCGATGTGTACTAAGGGACGCCAGTACACGTCAGTAGTTTCCGTGTCAGTTCAGCGGTTGCGCCTTGCGATGATGATGGGGTACGTTTGGATTCCGCTAGGCACTTTGGAATTATCTGCACGGAAACATTCTTTATGCGGCCAACACACACCGTTCTTTATTCTTTTGCCCCGGGAGATCCAGCGCTGCCCATGAAGTAGATGACCACAGCGATCACCACAAACCAAACGCATGTGGCGATAATTCCCGCAGCCAGTTTGTGACGTCGGTCCTCTTCACGGTCCATACTGGAGGCGGCGCGCTAAATTTTTGCGAATGTAAATTTGCACCCTTGCCAAAGCGGTTTGATCAATCGAAAGGTCAACTTTTACGTTTAGTAACTGCAATGATTAGCCGCCAGAAGTCTCGTAGTTGCTATTAATTCAAACGTAAGAGTACACCAGTACACTTATAAATGTAATTTTATGCATAGAACCACATAGTATCCGTAAATCGGCTTTGCTGAATTAGAGCCATCTGTAGAGCATTCTTATCAAACGATTGCATGTCCTACGCTAATCCGTCAACAAGAATAGAAAGTGGACTTCGGTTTAGAATTTGTATCACACACCGCTTGGGTGAGATTGTAAATAAAATTGCAGTGCCGATCCAAAACCAGCTCGGCATTTGTATCAATCAAGAGAGTTCGGCATCACTCACGATAAAAACGAGCTGAAACTTCACAATAAAACGTTGAAATATTGATTATAGGCCGGAAATGCGGCTGAAGATATTGCATGTTCCGATCACAAGAAGCGAATGCCAGTTATCCCCGTATTAAGATGGTTGTGTTGTTAAACGGCGAACAGGTACCGTGTTAGCGATTAAATAAGAAGACAAATAACGGCGCCACTCTGCCGGCAAGAAAGCCAGTGGATCAAGGAGTTTTGCATCATGCCGTCTTGTTCACCAATTAAAGACATACGTTATATTCTGTTGTAGTGTGGTCAGTATTCCTTTCCACCAAGGATCGATCCCCACTAACTGGCTAATGGGTACTCGGTGCCGCCCAAGAAGTAGAGTATTATAGCGATCATGGCGAAACAAGTGCACGCTGCGATAATGCCTGTAATCAGTATACTACGTGTATCATCTTCCTCATGATCCATGGTCGTAAATGGCACCATATCGAGTAAATGTGACGACTTTGTAACGAAAATTATGCACACATCGGTAATTTTTCAAGGGTGAAACACGTGATTCATATGGCAGAAAAAACAACTCCGGAAAGGTCACGCGGACCACAATACTACCGTGAACGATGGAGGCGATGTTCGGAAATGAGCACCGTCCGAATCCCTTTCACGAGTCTAAGTTAGAACGACTGTCTATCAAAATTTAAAAGCAACTGCAGAAAATATGAGCGGGATCTTGGATTGCGTCTTGGTAGCTATTACAGTTCCTCGCAATCAGCACGTACCAGGGCGTCCTTCAAGTGTCTTGCTTATATTGTAAAAAAAGAACGTCTGACTTACCCGCACTTCACGCTCCCGATCCAGCCGAAATCAAGAGGCATGGATGGCGTAATAGGCACGTAGAAGAAAGCGCGCCCACCTTGTCTGCGCAAGGTGGCAGTCTACTGTACCAATACAGATTTCTGAATCCTGATACACACTAGTCCAGAAGTTAATGAAGGCAGTTGGAACAAGGTTTGTGCTCGCTATTAGTGTGTATACAGTCACCGAATAGTAAGTAACAATTAATAACAGGATGCAGACCCTGTTATTAATAATAAGTCCCGTTACATTAGTAGGCATTGCATTTAATTTCCACTGTTCGATGTAATGTTTTCAGCCAAACACTTCTACGACTGCTCAATCCGTACCAAAAGCAGAATGCTCATTATACTGTACAAGTGCAAAAATCACGGCAGATTTACCTCAGCAGATAGTCTTATTCCATTTCAAAAACCAATGCTTATTCATCGACAGTTTCTGAATCCTGTTCCGTTAAACAGTTAAACAGAATACCAGCATCAATGGTAGTAAACATAGCATACGTGTGAAGTTCACCGATTTTTAAGAAACAATCAGGACATTTTGTGCCGGCATCGGTGATACCGTATAACCGCCCGCTTCTTGATGTGCCGCCCTTTACGGAGGATTTTGGGCATTCCGTGGGTGCTGCGACCGGAACGGCGACGCCCGCTCACGAGCAGAACTTTCGCACCGGCAGTCTCGACGGTTCGGCTCAGCTACACACCGCGTGTTACCATTAGGATGTAAGTAGAAGTGCCTTTGGACAATTTTACATGAGCGCGATAAGGCACCACAACGAATTAGTACACCAATGGAAATGCACACTTGCATCCTGATTGCACGCAAATGAGTCCGAGCAGCTTTACTATGCGAATCGCTGGATATGTATACAGCGGCGCATCAGCCAAGGGACGAAATCATGTCCACGATAAGGAAAACGCCCACGAGGGCGACGCAGCTGCTGGTTATTATGGTCATAATCAAAGTCTGCTCGTCGTTCTCCATAATAAATGGGAAACATCGCGTAATTTAAAAAGAATGCAGTTTTTAATAAATTTTACAGCTGCACAGGGAACCGATGCAGCGGCGCTTAATCAAAGCACAGTTCAGTGGCTGTGCATAACTTTACGGCCACAAGACTGCCAAGTTGAGGTAAGTACAGTAATATTCGGGTTTGGGAAAAACGCGGTCGCTTTGAAAGGTTATAAACGCAGGCTTCTGTTGTTAAGCGCGCGAAGTAAACTCTTGGAATCCGAGTAGTTCTTAATAATAAGCAGCGATAAAAAGTGACTGTGCAATATGGTAGGTATCGTAATTGTAGATACACAATTGCTATTGTAGTTATTAAAACCATGCTCTTAAAGCATCTCCCCTGGAATTGCTTATGCAGCGCGCCCAGGGAGCAGACGACTGTTCAGGTTGGAAAAGAATGCGAGGTCCCGAATCAGCTCTGATTACGATTATCAGAACCGAGAAACTCAAGTTTACAGTGCGGCCAGATCGCAGGCCTAATTTATTAGAACATCGTCCCGTACGAACGGCAGCAGAACCAAAACTAAAATCAGGCTTAGAAACAGAATGGGCAGCATCCGATAAATGTGTCTAGTCATGCAACGCGCATAGTAAGCAAGTCAATACAAGTAGTCTTACATGCTTAGACCACATTCATCCGCTTTTTGATTGTAGATAAACAGAAGTTAGAACACCTGTACACTAAAACAGAACCTTCGTTCGGAATGGCGAAACAATGGCGAAGCAGATGGAAAAAATTATTGGACAATGAACGGATAAATGGTCAGCATGACACTAGTCACGGTCGTCGGGTATGAACCGCTGCATGTTCTTCCAGGCGATGGTCCGCGGCACGACGGCACAGTGCATGTCGCACTGCGGTGAAAATGCCGGCTCACACTCTAACCAGCGGTTAGTATTTGTGTAGTAGCACTCCGTCTGGAGATGTCCGCCCCAAGCTCCAATAAAACCTGCCAGAGCGTACAGCTTTTCCTCCAGCCATACCAGCCCCATCTTCGACCTCCCAGTTTTCATGGACCCTGATTAAGGAATAACGGTAAAAGAATATGCTATATCAAGGTAGGTATTATGAATAGGTAATAACAAGACGGCAACACAGGCAAGCTCACACTCACCTTTAATCTGCCATAGGTTTGTCTGGACGTTGTATGCTTCCACACAGCGGCCACCCCCGTCAAAGTAGCCCTTGGTAACCGCATTGTATGTCAAGTCAGAGGCACAACCACCTATCGGTAAAATAAAAATTATTTCACTCATGGCATCTGTCGTGATATCGGCATCTTCGTCCGACCGCAACTCACCCACAACATAGATGAGCCCATCAGGGCCAACACATGCCCGGCAATCATAGCGCGCTGTCGGCATAGGCGCCAGGTTCTCCCAGACGTCGCGTGCCGGGTCGTAGCAGTACGCCGCTGTTGTCGCACAATAACGTTTGCTGCGCGAAGACCATCTCCTTCCTCCAAACAAATACAGCCGGCCGTCGTGCGCCACACTCGCGCTAGCACGCAGCTTTATCGGCATTTTTGCCTTAGCGGTCAACTGGCGGACTTCATCATCGAAAGCATACAACTCGCGATCGCCACCCATCATGTAGATACGATCACCAATAGCGGTCAGCCAGGCGTTGCTGACAGGAAACTCTCCCCCGTCCGTCCACCGATCCTCGTCCACAGCATAAACGAACAGGCGGCAGGATTCCAGATCATCCTCTTCCGCCAACACGCAGATTCGCAGCCGACCATCCTTCACCACATACACCATGGGACCGCTCCAGCTGCTTGGCGGAACTGCACACGGTACGCTGCACTTGCTGTCCGTCAACGGATCAAGACGATACAATTCCACAGTGTCCATTTTCTCCGTTCTCTTCGTCTGCTTGTTGTAGCCCCATAAGAAAACGATTACAGGCTCTGCAAGTTGACAGTGAATACTTTATACACTCAAAGCAGTACAATCGAGCACTGATTATTACAAAATATGTACAGTAAAACATTCGTTCGATGAAACATTCGTTCGATCTGCGAACAGTCTACGTACACTTCGCTAAAAACACGTCGTGCGTTCAATATTTTTAGGATGAATAACTTTAACTCCATAACCTTTCCAAAGTACTTATTTAAAAAATTTTCAAGTACTGTATCGACGCAAAATTACGAAGCAGTTGTCAGACTCGCTGCGCAACGCGGGGCATTGAGGTCGAAGGGGCCGCAAAAACGACAACCCCACACTTGGGCTGAGGGGTTCCAAGCAGTTTTTCTTATCCATACGAAGATACCATAACAAAATAAACAAGTACTCGAACTCACCCTTACGGTAGGAGTCACGGTACCGGTGCGCCACATTAGCTGCCGCAAACAAAGTTTGCTGAACGTGTTGCCCGGCGGGGGTGTCGGGCAGCGAAGCCCGATATTCGGCGGTCAGATAAGGCAAACGGATGCATTTCCCCAGTCCCACAGCGAACCGGGATCGCTGCGGCAGGGAGTGACCCAACCAGCGAACAACAGCCGCGGCCACCTGCTCCTCCTTCTCCACGTTCAGTTTGTTGGAGACGACAAACTGCTTCAACTGTAATAACAAGCAAATACAGAATCGTACCGTTAAGTTCGTTAACTGAAGTCCAAACATTACAAGGACATACCTCAGCAGCATCCAGGTCGAGAAAATCGTGCGAATAACTGATCTTGACGAAATTCTCAAGGGCAAAGACCAGACACGCTTCAGCAACACGTTTGTCAGACAGTTGCCGCGTTCCCCGGAAGATCGTCAACCAGTTAGCCAAGTCCATGTTCTTCAGCAGAAAATCCGTGCACACTTGCACAATCTGTCCCATTTCCAGCAGATCCGCTGCCTGCAGAAGAAGGAGCGCGTTGCTCATGTTGCCGATGGAGACCTTGCAGGAATACATGTAATCGATCAACCTACAACCCAACATTAAATTCAAAAAAGCATCATCAGAATAATAACAATCGCTCACTCACTGTTTCACGATAGCGTGGGAAACATTGGGCAGATGGATGGTTGCTTGTTGTGAGCCACCTGGGGAACGAAGCATTGTTCGGAACCAACCGCTGCGCGCCATCAGCACGTTTCGGTGACAGGGAATCGACTTGATCCGTTTTGTTGGGTCCTCCGCACCTCGTACCGATATGTCGTAGAAATCGTGACGGGATTCCTGCAGTCCGGCGAAGAACTCGGACCCGTCGAGTTCCCGCGAAGGCGCATTATCGGACCGTCGCGCCCGTTTGCGGGGAGGTTGGGAGGTACTCAAGGCCCCTTCCGCCATGATTACGATTTAGGTCTAAAAATTCAAATCCCGGGTGCTGACAGTAAAAAAGAACGCACCAGCAAGAACAACAAACACTAACGCAGAACGTGAGATAACGAATGAATGTCTACTGAACCCTGCCAAACATTACAGGAGCTCTTGACCGGGTTGGATGGTTTGCCTTCGCACTGGCATGTGAGCACATGCTGCAGCCCAATCAGGAGCTAGCAATGGCGAACACGGTGAGTCAACGCCTCAGCAGCGCAGAGGTGAGTACACGTGAGCACCGAGTTGACTGTACAGCCTGTACTATTCCAGCATCAGCATGATTGTGGCGTTCGACCAAACGATGCACATCTAATCTAAAACGATGAGAGCACGTACACGGTACAAGGCGGAGCTTTGGCGGCTGGGGACAGTGCGGAGCCTATCAAATAGATATCTGGGCGAGTGGCGGAATAGTTTGCCTTTTTATCACAGTCTAGCCGGCCAAACGGAAATAAAAAAGGCAATATATTCCACCGGTCGACTTAGGAAGAAACAGCAACGGTTATTTGGCGTAGTATCCAGCGAAATAGTCAGAAGCTATAAATCAAACGACCGCAGTGCGGCAAAACAGGGAAGTAGCAAAATAGCCGCTTCGTTGAACCATCTTTTTCGGCTTACTGTACTTTATAATTTCTTTTAAATGGCAGCAAACTTGAAAAATTGATTGAGTGGGATTTATCAGCTATTCCGCTATCCCACTACAGTATAGGCACAACTTGACAGTATAGTTCGGCAAAAACTGGCAGCATCGCATTACACACGAAAGCAGTTCTAGTACACAAGCGATCGGGTAAACCGTGAACTGAGGCAGTTACACGATGCTAGCGATACGCTGTGGAAATGGAATGCCAGGGAAACGTGCTGTCCGCAAAGCGCGAGAATGTTTTAAACGTCAGAGAATTTAATACCAGAATCGAGACAACAGAATGGTTACAGAAGAACTCATCAGACCGCTCGTAAGGCAAACGAAGTTTACGAACAGAGAGAAGGGGGAAACTGATAAAGTCAGACTTAAGTATAAAACATTGTTCAGGGTTCACAATGACATCTACACTGGGAAGAGGCGAGTACAAAATCAAACACAATCGAAAGAAGCAAAGCACACATCAGCATCGCTTACACCGCAAGCCGCACTCTACCGCATTCAGTTGAGAGGTTAAACGCTCCCTTTTGTTGGTCCGATGGCTGGTCAACAGACACGCGAAAAGCGGGACCATTGGACGAAGAATTGCCACCGAGAAGGTTTTTGCATTCTGGCTATAGAGCAATCCAACAGCTGCTTCCATGAAAGTGTATTCTGTAATCGTCCTCGCTCATCTTCCCAGGGCAGCTTGCGGACTTTAATAATGTTACGACCGTTATGGTCGATTTCGTCCATTACCTCGGGGGTTGTCACCTCGTCCACGGCCTCGGTGGTATTGGCAATCGGGTAGTCTTCGTCGGCTATCGGATCGGTTGTATTGGATCGGTTAAACAGCCAATAGTCTTCGTCTGCTGCCGGCACGGCATCATCGGCAACGGTGTCGTCAACTGAAAGGTCGTCACTGCCAGAATCCGGCGCATCCTCACCTTCACTCGTGCTACTCGTAGATGTGGTAGGCATGATGGTCGCTGTTCTCCTCCTCACTACAGCAATAATAAATTGATTTAAATTTGACAATTGCAGTTAATTTCCACGCGTTATACGGACACGCTTATAACCTGCTCGAAAATCGAACTAAACACTTTTAAAGCTAACGCATATTTCACGCACACGTACGTGCTACGCACCTGGTGAGCCGAGAAATGGCGCAGCACAGCATGATAGCAGCAGCAAGCATTCGACAGTACCGGACATTTCTCATCTGTCAGCTGAAATCTTATGCGGTCTCCTTTCCCTTTATACCGTTTTAACGGGCAAATAGTAAATATTAGAGTAAAGTCTCAGTAAACACATCCTTAGAAGGCATTTAATTTGAGCGCCTCAGAAAGCCTTACTTAGAAAGAATCTTGACATTTTAAACGCCTGCTGAATTTCTTCATGCTTCATTGCGTACGTCGAAGAAGGCGCAAATAGAAGGCACGACTACACTACTATTCACAGCAATCAATTACTTCCTTGTTTAAACGGCGAAAGATAATTACAACAGCGGCAGTAGTACCCTCAACCGCATCCGGCAAAGTGCTGGTATAGCATGAGAACCGGTTTCCTTTGCACACTTTTAAATAACTTTACGATGCGAATATTCCAATGATTGCGCGGTGGTGAATGCATTTCCTGATGTCAAAGAACGTCAACAATCTTTACGGCACTCGCACAAAATTTTACCAGCCGCGATGCTATTAAAGAAAAGTTTTGACCAGTGCGTGTATTCCCTTCGTGGAAAACTAACCGGTCATTCGACCAATGACCGGTTAATTTTCCGATTTATATAATAGGTAACTGCAATTTGTAAATTTATTAAATAGGTCATCAATGGCATTACCCGAATCTTATTCAACACTTCCGAGGAGGATTAAGCCTTTCTTTCCCGTACTGTATTAATTTTGCTAATTTGTTTTATTTGAACAGTCAGAACTTTGTTGTATTGATTTGTCTGAATACAGGATTCTTGCTAGTTTCTCTTAATGCTGTTGCCATAAATTCTACAGAAAAAGCGCTATGATGGGAATAAAAATACACTTGCATTTGCTATGCAGATTGATAATTTACTGCAGTTACTCTGCAGAAGAAAAGTGTTGTTATGTGTTTTACCGATTATTCCTTTACGAAGATGTTTGTGGGCCTTCTAAACATCCCGTAGTGGTGAAGAAAGTGAATAAGCAGTTATAAGGAAAAATAAGAATGTTGCCTTGAATTTCTGAAGAAAGAAAAGGATAGGTATGCGTCTTTTCCATTGCATAGATGCACAAACACAAACAAGCACTGCAGCCGGTGTTTCCGCTTATCCAGCAAAAAAGGCGTTCCATTTGCATAGAAATGCTACATGTCTTAAAATAATCAGAAAACAAGAAGCATACCATGAGCAAACGATTTTGTATGCAGTGTTATACGTATACCTTCCGCGTATCTCGTTTATTGAGTTTTTTAAGCAACACCCGATCACTCTCCAAAATTAACAGCAATCAGAGTATTCCCATTGCAGTCAGTCTTGAGCATGGCTCTCGCCACGCGCAACGTGCTACCGGCGTTTGCTGTACTTGTACTGCTAAACAAATTTACACTGATTGCCTCTGAACCAGGAACCATTCAGCTTACTCCAGCGATAACGTTAAAGGGAGAAGCCTGTTGTTCGACTGGAGATAGCAATGGATACGTGTATTATGGAATACGCTACGCTACCGCCCGACGTTTTGAGGTAGCGCAATTTCCTAAAAGCATTTTGCGCGGGGATTTATAACATTAATGGTTGCAGCATTCTATGGCGAATGAGAACTACTCGTATTTGCGCAATACCACCCGGCCCAAACGCGGACCCGTGTGTCCGCAAACTTCCCCAGAAGCGGATGGAAACGTTGTATCCGAAGACTGTCTTTACCTGGACGTTTATGTTCCGCCGATAAACCCACGTGAACGTCCAAAATTTCCTGTACTGATGTTTATTTATGGCGGGGGATTACAAGGTCCCACATGATTGTGTATGACATACTTGAACTTCACAGCCAAATACTTGACTCGTGTAGAGGGCTCCAAGGACACATACAGTCCATCGTCGCTGGTGGCTTACATCAACGCCATCGTAGTGTTTATCGATTACCGTGTTGGTGCTTTTGGTTAGTTTTTGCACACAAGCAGTTTTCCTGGAGCTCCTAATAAAGTATAATATTTTAGGTTTCCTGAGTACCGGCGATGCAACCGCCTCCGGAAATTATGGGCTGGGCGACTGTAAAGTAGCGGTTAAGTGGATCCAGAAGCACATCGGGAAGTTCGGCGGGGACCCTGCTGCATTGACGGTGTTCGGGGAAAGCGCGGGAGCGGCACTAACATCGGCACTCATTGTCGGTCGTGATCAATCGATTCGAAGTAAACGTCCACCTGGTTTCAAAGATCTCCGTAATGCCTATTTTGTGTGTTAGACTCACTGCGCGCGGTGGCGCTGTTAAGCGGTAGCATCACGACCGACATCCTTTATGACCGCGAACCGAAAGAGACGGCTATGGGCGTGGCCCAGAAAGCCGGTTGCCCGACGGAAAGTTCCGCAGTTATGATCGGGTGCCTGAAGCAGTTGCCAGTTGAGGACCTTTTGCGTTATTCGCCACAAATTTCTGATAGGCCGGTAAAAGAAGTTAAAATTTGAGTTGTCAGCAGTGTACAGACTTTCTTTATTAGACGATGCCGTTTGGATTTGCGGTGGACGGTGAACACATTCCGGATATTCCAATTCGAGCGTTAAAAGCAGCTGCCGCTTTGTCGGCTCCAGCCCCTCACATTCTAACAGGATATCTGCGGGAAGACTCATCATATCTCTTGCAAAGTAAATAGTTTAAAGAACTATATTCTCGCCCGGTTTTAAAACTGTTGGGTTTCAAAACTATTGTATACTGATGTTTTCAAAACTACTGTATATTGATGTAAAATTGTCATGCGTTTATTTCAAATACCGTAGCTTTTTACGAGTTTTGCTTGTAAGTACGTCCTTTTACTGTTTTCTTCACCCTATTCTTGTAAAGTACATGCATGTTGTACAGGGGCATGCATACAACTGGTAAAGACTACGAGTACAATACATTTACACGCATAATATAGATAGAAGTTTAATCGAATATCGTGTTATTTGGGCGAAACACGGGAACGAGGCCATTAAGTAATGCCGTTACGAACCAATCGCTTCGTTTGCCATCGATTACTTTCTATATAAAAGGTTATGCAATCGCAGCTCTGGACCTGATGAACCTGAATGTGTTGTTCTGTTGGCAGGTGTTGAACCTGATTTAGTCGACCCGAGCAAGCCTTTAACGGTGGACCAGCTGCGGGATGTTGTGGGTAAACGCTATCTTCCGCTCAAAGATGGCGGCTTGGCCAATTGCTCCTCATTAGACACTACCGTTGTCACGCGGATTCTCCAACAATACAACATCACCGACTCCAACAACCGAGACGACACTCTCTGGAAATTTTTCCATGTAACCCAGTTATGGAAATGCGCGTGTAGATTTTTGTCGCACTCTTAGCCGATAGCTGTACAATTCACGATAACATTTTTCAGTTCTCTACTCTAAGCAATAATAGGCGGACGAAAGAGAAGTATTATCCTAAATTAGGAACATAACTTGATTATTCACTTTGTTCAGCTGGCCACGGACGCACAGTTTGGTCACCAAGCGGTCCAGGAAGCGCTGCTGTATGCCAGCAGTGCGGGCACCAGCCAAGTATACCGCGTTGATTACAATCCTGGAATGGGCATGGGTAAGAAAATATTTTTTTCTGGCTTCCATCAATTTCCTAAACGTAATGTTTCAACGAAATATGGCCCCGTTTCATAATATACTGAAAAACGAGGGATAGTGAGAAACAGTTTGTTTTTCAAATTAATTCTCTAGGGCCGGCCTGATCGTGACCTTTAAGAACTGATTATAGCTGACATTTTCAAAGGTTATTATTTCAGGGGCTTTTCATACTATGGACATTTTACACATGTTCAGTCCTATTCCACAAGTAAATCTAACTTTCGACGAGCAACATCTTAGAAGTTTTCGGGAGATGCTGCGCTAATTGGTCCATAATGGGTACATTTGGTATTAGTACACAAAATATTGTAACAAAGGTTTCCAAATGCTTTACAGAAAAATGAATGGACCAAATTTTCGCGCACCCGGTAAATACCTGCAGATGAACCAAGATGGAGAATGGTTGACAGTCGGCAACAATGACCTCCTGTAGATGCTTCAGTTTTGGGAAGAGGTGGCCATGAATCCGTGCGGAAATAGCGATAGTTTCAGTGCGCAGATTGTTAGCTCTTTTGTCAATTTAATTACGTATGTAATAAGCGCTTTTAAAAATACATGAGGTAAGAGAAGCTTTTTATTTTTTCCCCACTTCATCATCTTACTGGAACACGGGCAATACTACAAAGTACTGCGCTTTTTTACTCTGATGATGCTGCTGACTGCTGCATTAATTAATGAGTTTTGTCTCAAATGAGTGAAAGGACGTTACGTGCACTGAGTATACTCTTCTATCGGAAATGTCTTCGTAAGTGGTAAAATACAGTAATTAGAATTTTTAAATAACAGTTGACCATTTGCCAAGAATTCAAGACAAAAGTAAATGGTGTATGCGTCAAGAAAATTCTTGGCGCAGGCAAACTGCGTCATTTTGATGTGGAGATACATTTTCTAACTTGCGGCATCGCAATTCTTGCAAAACAAGTGATGTCTGGGCCGACTATGCGGATTACTTATTAGTGATATTACATACCATTGCCGTGGTTTTCGTACCTATTGGAGTAATCATTTGCAAAACGCGCGAAATTGCTGTTGGCTATTGCAACAAGATATACCACGACTACTGCAAGTACAGAGTATAAGGCGCATGCTTATGATTGGCTGAATTGCGGTCACTAGTGAAGTAGTGATCACAAGGTCCGCTGAATGACGCTACCCTATGTAGAACAACAGCCTGGCCCTTTTTGTGGGAATATTCTGCCGTGTGGCGAGCAAGTGACGTCACAATGCAACGCATATGCAATGTGATACAGTAGCCATCTGCTTGAACATGCCAAAGACGTGACTTGGTGCGTAGATAGACCGTTTCAATTACCGCTTTTCCCTTGGTTCGCTGCAGAAAGTGCCGCTAAACGTGACAAAAGTTCCGGAATTTAATAAAATATCTATCATCAGGATCACGTAACTGTCTCTTATCCATGACATATTTTTCGGCGTTTAATCCAGATTTTCCGTGCAACATCAGCGACTGGCTGGATTTCATTTCCTCCTTGGCTGGCTTGAGTCCGCCGTATTTCAGCAGAGGCAGCTATAAATTATGAGCTCAGACAGGTGTGGTTGGCTGTGATATACGTAAGAATTAGCTGTTTTGCGTAGATCCTTTGATTAAACTTTTTGCTTTCCTTTGGATTATCTTGAAGCGAGTTGGCTTTGCAATGATGCGTTTTTCATGGTGGTGGCTGGTTAGCATAATATATCACTTTGGACAGAACTGCGTCCACGCACTTCCGGTAAACAGGGACGATACTACAACTGCACTGATGATGTTGGGTAATGCTCTTAATCGGGAACGTTCCGCGCCACCAGGTAAGATATATGCCGGCAACTTAATTTCACCCGTTCTGTAACCGTCACTGTCGCATTTTGCAGATCTTGTGCAGCACGGATTACAGGATTGCCGAGGCCGGTTTTGCCAGTTCCTTTCTGCCCGTTTACTCCACAAGGTGCTTTGCAAAAAAGTTGTTGCATGCGATATATCTCGTAATGCAGTGATTAGATAAATAATTCGTTACTATGACCATTTCGTCTACAACCTGCCAGCTGCGGCAATAGTGCTGGAGCAGTAAATTGATAGCAGTTAGACTCGTACAATGTACCATTACAAGGACATTATTCCGTTTACACTGGTCAGCCAGACAAGCAGACTAGCTCACCACAATTTTAAGAGTAAAGCCAATGTTCGTTTTCGTCTCATGATTAAATCTTTCAGGATGTTTTAAGAACATCGTTTTTTTTCCGCTGCAAAGCCAATAAATAGTATGCATTTCGCTTTAACCGTTGTTCGTTGTAGCGCTTTGACAATGTCATGCTCCCACCGCGTCGTGCCCAGACCGTTCTCGGTAACCGGCGGCGCTGGCGGCTGGCAAAGCCCCTGCCTGCAACATCTGTAGCGCCACCCCCGTCCGTATCGCCACTGTTGTCCTCGGACTTCTACCCGCATCGACCGGCCGGCATGAATCTGTTCAGCCTCTTCAATCTCCCCGTTCACAACTACGAGGCGCACAAATGGGAAGCCCCGCCCGATAGAACCCCCATAATGCCGGCGTGGGCTGCGTTGCTGCTGGATCTCTTTTCCGGGGCGCATCCGGACTAGATCGTCACTGCGGACGCGGATTCGGTTGGACGTGGTCGAAGCTGTATAAACCTCAATATACAGACATGTAAAGCGGTACTCGAATTTGCACAAAACGTATTGTTTTTCTTTCTCGTTGGGTGTCCGCATTGAATCGTTTCTTAGTTGCTTGTTTGACCTGGTTCTGCTTCACTTTAAGAAGGTTATGAGAAGTTATGAGAGACGAAGTTTATGAGAAACATTACAAATAATTAGAGTTATTAGACGTAGGTTCTGACAATGAAGGCGGTATAATTATGCTAAGTTGTGATAGAGCTCTGCATCTGTTAAACTGTGATTTTTCGTGTGTATGCCAAGTGTTTTAGCTGCTGTCGCTCGCTTTTCATAGTTTGTAAATTGTCCATAGAAGTATATCTTAAAATCTCCGTAAAACTACAGTGCTATACACAATTTCATTCGCGCTTTAATAACTGATCGATCCGCATTTCATAAATGCCACTTTTCAGGCGCAGTTAAGCCATATGCTGGCACATATGTTCAAACTTAGCTTTACAATGTAGTAAAAAGTTTTAGTATCTTCGCTGTGTGAAAACGCTGCAAAAGTATTTCGCCACACAACCAGCCGAACTGGGTTCATAAAGTTCATAAATAACACAAACGCACCATATACCATGCAGTAGTGGCAAGTGGTGACCTTTCACGATGCTGCTTACATGCACACAAACTGGTCACAGTGGTGGCAAGCTTCGCAGCGACATAAAGATGGTATTAAAAAATTAGGCAAGGAGACGAGAAAGACCATCGCTATATGGCAACGTGTGTATATGATTGCATTGTAGGCAAAAACCTGTTGCAGTTGGAGCTTAACGCCGTGCTATGAGAAACTTAAACGCTCTCTTGATGGTGTTGAGTCGTTGACGATGTCGGCCAAGGCAAGTTTCTGTAGCCTGGCACAAAATTTCACCTGAACTAAATGGTGCAACTTTCGTGGCAAGTACGGTGCACCTGCGTCTCGTAGTGTACTGAGAATGTTACTGAATGTGCTGCCCACTTGGCAGATGTAATGTAACCTTTAGTGTTTGCGCGACTTCGCAAAGTTCCGTCTGGTATTACAGTGCAGTGTGCACACTTATCGATATCATTCGTATGCAACACTTATAGTATACGTATGCAACGTTCTCATGAAATCACGACCGTAAATACCAAAATAACAACATCCTTACACAATTTACGTACCAAGCGTTACAAGGGCGATTGGCTCGGTGTCTATGAAAACGCTGGACTTTTACTCTGTTGATTAGCGCTCCACTCTCCAGTTATGTGCTCTTGCCAAAATGTTATGATATTTCACCCGCTGGTGGTGTGACGGTGAGCGGTGAGACTCATACTCGTATCCCCTGACGAAATGTGTCTATAATAAATCTTTTGATGCCATTATCTCCGAAATGCCACATGTCCTAATTTTACCTGGCTGTACATGTATACGGTTCTGTAGTGAGTGCGTCTTTTAGACGTAATCGAACCACGTGCGAGACGCATGATTTTAATACATTTTCCAATTTAAGTATTCTGAAAAAGTATTGCATGACATAATGATTAGTTACTGACGTAGCAAAGTAAATTCCAACATGCAGATACAAGCGACGCAGTATTTCCGGATCTTGATGAAGCCTCCTCGGGGGTATCACCAGCATGCACCTTTTAACGCTTATACTAGTTAATGAAGTACACAACTGTCAACTTACGTAGATTGACAATTTGACACAGAAAGCAACGACATGTGTTCCTCCATAAAGACACTCATGTGAATGATATAACATATTAATAAATATTTTATGCAGTTACAAAGTACTTAAGTTGCCGCAAAATGAGTAACTGAAACAGGGCGTAAGGTGTGCGTTGCAGCAGCTTGGCTGTGAAACTGAGAATCCAAATGGCTCATACGATTCTCTCCAAAGGAATCGAAGCCGGTAAATTCTTCTGCTCGCACTAACAGCTGGTGTGACGGTTGCTTCATCCAGCTTCTATGAGTAGAAGTGTGACATGAAGGGAATTACTATTATTATAATAACGTCTGGGAACTTGTGCAGATGCAACCATAATCTCGTAATCATCATGACACTGTAAAAAACTGTATGACGTCGTACAACGGTTAGTAGAGGATGACAGCGAACACTGAACACATTCTCTTCATTTCGACAACACCTGTTAAGCGGAAGCCAGATCATTTGTTTCCTAAATTATACTTACGTACTACTACTTTGTTAATCGTAGTCTACAGTTAAGCAACAGCAACACGTTACCTTATCGTTACCAAGTCGACCAAAACAGCCACTTTTTGCTTTTGTTCACTGCGTCGTCCAGTGACACACCCGTAGCGTTTTTAAGCGGCATCTTTACGGTAGTAACCTCTGGCTGAATCACCACCGTCTCTGTGGCTCCCAGCGCATTAGTCGACACCATCCCCACGGTATCCATCAACATGGTAGCCGGGCCATCCGAATTGCGTTTGCCACCCCAAGCGAAGTATCGCCTCCCGCGGAATTTAGCCTTCGGGGAGGGATAGGCAGCCGCCCAGTCGTGCGCTGCACGCTTCTCACTATAGACGTGCAACGGCTTCAGGATCATGACTTTTGGTGCCAGAGCGTGGAAGGGCGGTGGTAGCAGCGTCGGTCGGAACAGAGATTCATCGGCCGGCCGTCGCACCCCTTCCTCGTGCTCGTAAATGGGAGCGGCTCTGGCAGCGTGCTCCAACATGGGAATGGCCATCAAAGCGGCGGCAGAGACCGCCGCCAGAACCAACAGGGCCACGATGATCATCGTTGCCACTTCGTGGGAAACCATGTCTGCCTACCCGGTAATGTCGCAAATTCTGAAAATACAGAAACCGTTCAACCGAGTTCATTTGCGATTAGCCAAAACCGCTAAAAGCGTCTTGTCATGCTGCGCGCGTCAGTACATATTTTACACCTTATCAGCACAATTTAAAATGGTCAACTCAATCTATGTACGTACATGGTAAAGGTCACCAGTGGATCCTTTCCCCAGCGATGTATCTGAATGTTACATGCAGCTTCTACAAATTTAATTCAGAAACGAGATGCAATAAGTGGTTATTCACAGTCAACGGAAAAGGTCAGATCTTATTAACGCGCCAGAGATTTCTCTGGCAGACACATTCATAAAAACACCGTGCGACGACACATTTTCAGTTCATAAAGATTTACTGTTACATGTACTTCCAGTTTCGTCTACATATATTGCTTGTTCGTCGGCTGCCAGTTTCTAATTACATGCCGTCTTAGGCTGAGGAAGGCCAGGAATTCTAATTACTGAATTTAAATTAAGAAGCGTCTACCTCACCCTAAGGTCATCATATTACCGTGCGGTCTGTTAACTCCATTAGTCACTTTCCAGTTTTCATAACGGAGGTACAACCGTATTGTTTCATTTCCTGTTTTTCAGTATTTTTCATGCTTCCACCATTCCACGGGTAGTCGCTATATCGATAACTAACGTGACATGTACAGAGTACAATAATTAATTAGTTTCTCTGGGAAACTACTGTATAAATAAGCGCCGTTAATAATATTTCTCCAAAACATATCTGTATTGTAGTTAATAGGTCCGTTAACAGAACCCTGCATCCTGGCGTAGAGTTCGTACTTAATTGATGTACTTGACGTAATGATATCAACGTTGGGAAAGCGGTCATCGGAAGAAGCTCCATAACTGAGAACCCAGTAACTGTATAAGTACTGTCCAGTCTGATTGGGCCGTTATACCTGTTTCTATGTAGTAGATTCCGCGTTAGATTGGAATATCAAAATTAAACAGAAAAAGCTTTTTACGAATACGTATAGGAGGGTAAAGATACTGCTTTTATTTACAAAATACGAGAAAAACAGAACGCCGAGGACTGTTTACAGTAATTACTGTACATTCAACATCCATCACCCATGGCCAGCCATTTTTGGCGCCTAATTTTTGTCCTAACAATCTCCTCTGTCTTGCAACACGGGTTTCTAACTTCAGACTCGATAGGTCTATAAAAACGTCCACTTTAAAGTCGCAAATGGTAATCAGTTTGCAGATCGCCAACTACTAACTAATAAGAAAATTAAAAAGACAATCTTTAATGTTTATGTTTTTACAATTCTGCATTTCTGTATTTCCATAATATCTTATGCATCAGGATAGCTCTCCAATAGAGGTTCATTCAGAAGGAAATTTTAAACAGTCGAACAGCTCACATATGCAAGGATTCAACTTTTTTTGCCAAGTACGGTCTTTTATGCAGCAATCAAAATATCAGCTATCCTATGAAAATTGGTAAACAAGCTGCATGGTGAGCTTTATATTCGGTAAGACGGGTAGGCCATCAGCAAATTTTTGCGCAGTACTGTACTGTACTGCCTGCAGCCAAACAGCTTTCAGAATTTTCAATTCGGAAGTTAACAGTCATAGGGTATAGGGACATAGGGTGCTTACCAGTCAGTCGTTCAAAGTACTCGTTCGAATGATATCACGATCAAACAAACTGTTACAAACACACCTAACATGGTGCAATTTAGGTATCGACGTGATTTAAGTGCTCTGAATCATCCTATCAGAAACGGTTTAACATATGTTTATGTACGTACGTAGTACTTATTCGAACAGGATCTGGCCATAATAAAACGTAGCTCGTAAAAATTTTATTAAACACTGCGTCTGTTACGTACGTCTGTAGTCTGTACGCTGTAAAGTATCATTCGAAGATCATTTCTGATAACTGATGCTAATCGATAAGTCCTGTTCGCAAACTATCCTCAAACAGTTGTGTACATATTGTAAAGTAGGGCCGATGCGATAAACTTCCTAGAGAACCCAAATCATGCTATTAGTCCCTAAACGTCTAAGATTCATTTGAAATTCTCGACTGTTGATATCTTCGGGATCCAGCAACTTCACTGAAACGACGAGCATAACCTAAGGTTCAAAGGAAACTCTACATAAGCACGGAAATTTTATTGCTGTTCGGATACAGTAAGAACCTGATTACTCGATTATTTTCTAGGTGAGGTACCTTTGATAACAATTTTGTTTTGTTCAAATCAAAGAAAATGCACACCGATCCCGTTCCCAAACGGGAACTGGTCAGTTGGAGATTGTTCATCTTTGGTTTACTGGCGATATTCTGCGGATTGGGACTAATACTCCTGGAAATTGTCAGTAAGGCTGCATCCAGATCAATATTATTGTCCATAAATGTACATTTATTATAAATGTACAGAATTAAGTACATAAATGTATTTCCAGCTGCCTTTAAACTCGGATGGTCAGCAGCATATCTCCATGCCTTGGCTGTTCGGGCCTTTACCGGCTTGCTTTACATTGTAGCAGGTACTGCGGAAATCTGCGCTTGTCGCTCCGTGAATATTGAGGACAGGGAACAAAGTCGGCAAGCCTTATTCCTATTCGACAGCATGGCACGACAGTCTGTCACCTGCACTGCACTTTCGAGCGTCCTTGGCATCGTTAGGGCTGTTCGTGGTCGTTATGACCTTGGAGCCGTATTACCCTCTGGGATGGCACTGCTGGGCTATCCAATGTCCGGATACCGTTGCCAGCCTCGCGACGCTTAGGACGGCATTTATAGTCTGCATTGTCGGGATTGCGCTTGTCTGTTCGTTAATCGAGTGCCTTTTAACATATAAGTATGCGAAAAAGTCTACCAGTACAAGTATTGTCGATTCTGATGACGAACCGTTGCTGGGATCTCAAGAAGATCTGACGGCCGGGGACATTGTGAAAAAGATTGTGGAGACAGCAGGAAAATTAGTCACTGCCAGTGACGAGCAACGTCAGATGGTTTTTGCAACAAATGCCAGCGGATACTGCTAACAATTACGGACAACAATACCACCAGCAGTTATTTGCGCAAATATAGTTCAGTGATCAATGATCCTCATTGAGTGATAAACATTCAGTGGTACTTACGGTTAGGTTGGTTAAGCACAACTGTCATTCTTTTTGGTAATATGGATGTTTTGGGCTTTTGGAAATGTTTGACTGATCTTATACGTATGTAAAATTATCTTCTGCTTGTTCTCAGTGAATTTTCGGTTGATTAAATAAGTTTTGCACATGCTGAACTTTAGATAGGTGCCGATAAAGGGCGACGAGTAATTGCATAAATTTTTGTGTATCTGTAATTGCACATTTGTTAGAACCGAGCGGCTTTTTTTCCGTATTCGCGTATTTCGTGTTTACTCTACTTTACTTGCCCCGCTTTTTGTTCAACATTGCCATTGCAGATTGCTGTAGAACAGAATGTATAATGTAAGTACATAAATAATCTTGCAAACTCTTATATCAGTATCGCGATCACACAGCAGCGCTGTTATTTGTATTGTTATCAACTTTCATAAATACTGTACGTTGTTAACTTTCCGGACAGAAATTTGCGTGAAGTAAACAAGGTACTGAGAGAGTTCGGGTTATTTGAACCTATTTCCGGCGTTTTCCAAGCTGATAGACCGGGAACGGTGCACTGTATAATGATTTTCACGAATGTGATGTTAAGTGTACCGGTACGTATTCTTTTATGCTTCCTTAATTCTCCTTCTCTTCCTTCGTTCTTCCCGCATTCTTGTATACGGCAACATGTACGAACTGACATTAAAGTTTGCAAAGACCGTTCATAACTTATCAAAACGTATTCTGTCTAGCAGTATACAGTTTTAAGTTGCAAAACCGTATTTCGGCGGACACTGGCAGGTTCGGCTTGCTTTACCTAGCAATATTAGGAGGGTTTTTATACAGCAAAACGTGACAGAGCGGATGTCCGGAAAATTGTTATTTTTCTGCTCATCACTGATTATTCCGCTACGTATTACTCTCCTGATTATTACGATATTAGTTAGTTAACATTTCGACGCAGAATAACAGCCGGGCTGGTGGGAGATTGAATCATACTATTTTACATCCGTCAGTCTTGTCGTTGATTATTCGACAGTTAATGAAGAAACAAACAGCGGAAATTACTAGATTTTACGGAAAAATGCACTCGTTTGTTGAAAACTGTTCCATGTTGGAAATAATGTGTCGAACTAGATTTCGGTTAGTGGCTATTTAGTAAGCTTTTATTTATTCCAAATATCGTTACCAGTGCATCCCCAATGCAGAGCACTTACTGTTGAAGCATTTTGAAAGTATTATTACCTACTGTATTAGTAAAACAAAACTATAAATACTTCTAAAAATATTAGTTCATTGACTATTGATCGTACAGATACACTGTCATCAGTAACAGCAGCTCTCAGTAACTGTCCAGACAAGAAAGGCCATGGTCGAAAGCACGACAAAGAATTAATGCGCTTTAACCATAGAGCTTATATTGCCAGCTGTCGGTATTCTTGACCTTTGTCGGAGAAATGCCAAATGCAATTCAATCACTTCGATTTGAAGGTAGTACCTATTACAGTAGTGTAACACCGTAAATTCTGATCTCATATATTTTAGTGATTCTATCCATGCACTTTTTACTCTGTAGCAGTTTTTTATAGAAACGGTCGTGACCGCAACAACAGCACGACAATTTTGTAATAAAATGCACTTTGAGTCTTTCACCATAAGGGCATTCTTGACTTTGTCAGCATCAGGATCTCACCGACCCCCACGTCAGCACTAAACCCGGTGGCATCCTGTACGGCACTCTTAAAGGCTCACTCATCATCGCTGGTGTCGCTGTCGCCGTCGTCCACGCCGGTGACAAATAGCGAGCACTGCCGCGGTTTCTTTCTTCATAACCATTTCTAACTTGTAAGTACAAACTGAAAATTCCTTAAAATTACAACTAATGCTTACAACGTTAACCAAGGTGGTTGTCGAGATGCTGGATGAATGCTTCTCTTGTAGTACCTGCACATTGTGGGCACTGGCGCAGACCGCCGCACATGCCTTCGTGTCGTTGTGCCATGCCTTATCAGGCAACTTTAATGCAATATTTTTGTTATTTTTCCTTAACGTAGCCTGTGAATTCGAAATCTATACCTATATAATGGTAGCTGGCTCATATTTTACGGTACAACAGAAGAATTCTACTCATGAAACCGACAATAACATCCAGGCTTCAGCATCCAGCAATCCATCTTAACAGCGCTTGCCGCCACCGGGCGATTGCCTGCCGACTGCAGGCTTTGCAGCCAGGCTGAGCCAGCATTCGCATTTCGCAGCTCAGCACAGAGGAAACTGTGGAAGACTACGATGCTTGTGTTGTTTCCCTGCGTTTTACCTCCTTTCCGAAATCAAACCGTCAGAATCCTGTTTTGGTGTTCATGCTGCTTTAATGTAAAACTTCGGATGTGAGTTCCCGTTGACGAATTGGGCGAATTCTGCAAGCATGTCTCGAAATCCCACATCATCCTCCGCTGCAGGGAATCGCGCTGGAATCCTGGCGATCTCGGACGGTATGCAGTACCTTTTATCCTGTGAGGAATTGAGCGACGTGCAGTTCGCGGTGGGACGGGATTATGGAGCCGTGAGACTCTTTCCAGCTCTCAGGTGAGTCCTCTGGTTCCTTCTTGTGATTTCACTATGCATTTGACATCATGCCTTCATGATGAAGGCTTCATCTGTGTGCATCCGTGGTCTGCAGTTTCTTGGTTTCACTTCGCTTGTGAACTGGCAATTTCAGACCCATCCTAAGTGTGCGCAGTGCAGTCTTCTACACAATGTTCTATGGAAGTATCCCAGAGAACTGCACGGTTCCAATTGAAATTCCGGACATTCTTCCCGAGGCCTTCGGTAACATGATCAGGTGGGTCTATCTCAACATTTTATCTTTCTACGCAGGGAACACGCTATTGACAAACTCACTGTATAGCTACATTTACACCGATACCGTGAAGAATCTCACTTCGGATAACGTCTTTCACACTCTGGGCTGCGCGGACAAATATGATTTGCCATTGCTGGTAGCCATGTGCACCGACTTCGTCTTGAATAATCTCAGCATCCGCAACTGCCTGGATGTATTGGATAGTGTAGGCTTTCTCGCATCTGTTGCTCAGCAGACATGTGTATACCCGTTACGCTGCGCAGGCGGTTCACTACGCGGTTGCGGCGCCGGGCATCCTGGAGAGATGTTTCAGCCTGACTGATGAATCAGCGACCAGTGTCTGGAAATCGCAGCAGTTCTGTGAGATTGGAGAAGATGCGCTACGCAGCATTCTCCAACGGGATACGCTGACCGCCAACGAAGATACCATTTGTTCGGCGGTTGACAAGTAAGCTGGTTTTTGTAAGCCATAGAAAGCCGAGTCCGTTGCATGTGCGACTTGCATGTTGTTTTCTGGCAGGTGGGCTGCAGCCATGTGCGCACGAAAAAACCTGGACGCTTCGCCCACCAATCGGCGTGAAATACTGGGCCAGACGCTGTTCCTCATCCGATTTCCACTCTTAACCGATGCACAGCTATTGGATGGACCCGTCAAGGTGATGTCTTTGCACCGATGTATACTGTGTTTCGATAATACATCAAATCATTGAAGAGGAACAATTCAAGCATGCTTTTGCTAGAGTAGTGCTGACTTTTCGATAAGCCATTCTTAGGCTAATCATAAAACCGGCGGAATACAGTACGGTCGTTCATGCTCGATCAAATGCCCTATTTTTTCAGAGCGGTTTGTTGCTGCAGTCGGAATTAATGGCCATTTACCACTACAAGTATGCCGCCATCAAACCGCAGCTGCCGTTCCCTACGGAGCCTCGTCAAAGTTAGCGCGCTCATGCTTTCGCCGGAAAATTGTATCCATGTTGTAGTTGTCTGCCTTTTCTAGATGTGCGCGGTGAAGGTGTTATTACCTACACGATTCCGGACGTAAGGAAGCTGCAGGATACATATACGCACAGCAGCGATCCGATTATAGTCAGAAAAATGCTTTGGTGAGTGGTGGCCGCGGAGAAATAGAAACTAGGAAGGTGGGCGACGGTTAATAACTTCCACGCTAACGATATGTATCGTTTCACAGGAGTATCGCGGTGCAGAAGCGAACTGACGGTGGGTCGGCTACCCTCGGCTTCTACCTGCGGTGTTGGGGTTGTCCGGAATTGGCTTCCTGGAAGTGTCAGGTTAATGGTGAGATGCGCCTGTTGCCGTTGAACGCGGAAACTGCACTGGTTTCTAAACGTATGTATGTTTCTTCATAAGCTTACTGTAATCTTTAGACAATTATTTGTAAATTTTGCAGCGATGTCGGACCTGTTCAGCAAGGGTACATTTGGATGGGGATACCCGAAATATATCGCTATGGAGGTGAGAGTTTTGTGTGGGGAACATTTTGACTGTAGTTTATTTACAATTCTACGTTGTCAGGATTTACTGGATCCGGCAAAAGGCTACGTCAGTCCTGATGACTTTTCCTTGAAACTCCAAATTCGAATGGCAGTGAGCGTTGATCTTCCTGCTGAAATCGGATAAGCAGCCTGTACCGGTGAACTGTTTAGGGATTTCTCTCCGATTACCAAATGGGAATGCTCTATTTAACCTAGTAACCGGTTAAATTGACTAACGGAAGTGGGATGATGTGATTTTTTTAGTATTTATTTTTCTGACTTTATCTGCCGATTTTTTAATATTTTTTCTGGCGTTATCTGCCGTTCCGTTTCCGTTTTTTTCTGGCGTTATTAATTTAGCCGTTCAAGTTAAAATCAGTAACAGCAATTCGTTTGGGCCCGTTGAAACGGAAACTTCGAAGTATCTGTGTACACGATTGTATCTGTCGAATCTCGTATAATATACTGTGCGCCGAAGGATAAATTTATACTCCCAAACAGAAAACATATACATTGTACTGACGTGACATACGTACGGTACATTCAGCCGCAAGTAAACGAAGTGACGAAGATGGTTGAAATGCATTATGCCTTCCATACGTATGTTTATATAAACATTCTCCACTAACCTTATTGAGATTTTATAAGCGTGTGCAATGTGCGTACATTTATTAAGGGTCGCGATGTAAAAACACGATTAGTGTAATTCCAGCAGTAAACTTGACCTCGCTTTATTTGTGCCGCACTGCAGGCTAAAAAGTTTCTGACCGTGTTCGAATCCCTTTTTAAATGCTTTCATGCTAGTAGAACTATACTGTTTGTATTATTACAGTTATGTGCGTGTTTGTCACAAAGGTCAGACTTTTGGAGTGTTGTTTAACCGTCTTGGAGAAATGTCAAATGCAGTGCGCTCAATTCTATTAATTTGAAAGTAGTATAATTATATCTGATAGGCGTAATACATTTTAGCGATTGTATCCAATAATTCTGTACTCTGTAGTAGCTCTCCATACAAACGGGCATGGTTGAAAACATGGAAATATTGTAATGAAATACACGTTGACGACGGTTGACCATAGAGTTTATATGACTAGACTATCGGCATTCTTGACCTTTGTCGGAGTCTGGATCTCGTCGATGACCCGCACGTCAGCACTAAGCCCGGTGGCGTCCTGTACGGCTCTCTTAAACGCCCACTCGTCATCGGTGGTGTCGCTGCTACCGTCGTCCACTTCGGTGACAAGGCGAGCAGTGTCACTGGTTTCTTTTTTCATATCCATGTCTAACTTGTCGGTCTGTACATGTGCGCATGCATTTCTTACAAACTGCAAGATTATTGAGATTACAGCTAATGCTTACAACCACAGTGGTCGTTGGGATTTTGGATGTGTGCTTCTTGTGCAGTACATCGTGGATGCTGGCGTAGACGGCGTCCCGCGCTTTCGTATCGTCATCGTACTTGTCCGACACCTTTATCAAAAAGCATTCATTTTACGGGTATTTTGAGTATACACAAAGTTTTATAAAAAAGGCGTGGAAAATTGTATTCAAAACTTCAAAAAACAAAATCAGCAAACACCGTGCACTAGGAATTTATCGCCTAAACCGTACTCAGAAATGGGTTCGCATGGAGAAACGCTTGTTTGCGCAATATGCGTCCAAACGAAGCAGCTACGTTTTTCAGTTGTACACGTTGCACTTAATGAAACGATTACGTACGTACATGTGACTGATCCGTTGTCATGATCCGCGTGACAACTGTCCTGGTCGTCGTTGACCCCGAGGTCCCCGACCCCTTGCCTTCACTTCGTACCACTGCAGTCACCGTTTTCTGTGGAACCATACACAAACCAATGCCATTCAGTAAATTCCTGCAGCGAGTGGTTAATTTCCATGACCGTTTGGCGTTTTTAGCAACGACAACTATTTGGACGTTGACCTTTGGAACGTAAATTTAATTACCTGGGTTGTTGTATCCGGCTTTGTCGGCTGCGACATAGTCTGTCGTGGCGTGAAGAATATGCCGTCATCTTCGCTCGACGATCCCTGCATTCGGTACGTTAAACTAACGACTGTATTATTTCCGACACAGGTTTATGAACATGTAGATGCCCTACTTTGCGGACAACCGTTGTCGTTGCTCGTTTATTAGGATCCATATTTTCCACTTCCTCCTCTTCCGTAACAGTTACCACCGTGCCGGTTATCTTTGGATCCTGCAAAACAAAAGGTCAAGGAACGCTCAATCAAGAACCGTTGCACTGTGACCTTTCGTTTCTCTACGGGCATTCGGAACGAGCGCCGTCGAAACAGGTCTTCATCGGCCTTGGTCTTGGGAAATCCGCGGAAGAAACTGTGGTGTTCCGTGCTGGTCTTCCACAACCGCTTGGCGGCTTTTTCACTGACACAAGAGTAGGATTTACGCTCCTGCGCCGCATCTTGTGTCGGGCTGGGACGCGAGCGGACATCGATGTAAAACGTGTGACGGCGGTAGGAGAACTTAAGGATATGGTGCCAAGGGTACGTTGCGATTAGTGTGTTGGCTTCGTATTCACGGAGTCCAGACGAAGACACGCCCAGAGAAATCAGCCGGTTTTGACCGTTCTGTGCAGTACGTACCGAAAAGTTAGCGGATTCGGTCATAAATTTTCAGCGGTTATCGAAACAAAATAAATTCTAATTTTGCAGATATTCCCAGCGGAATAATAATAACAATTTGCATTAATATTATAAAAAATACTAATGCATTTAAATATTGCTTGTATCGCCATTTAATTATATGTATGCAGCAAGAATGCGATGCTTTATCTTGATCACGCCCATACACTATACGATCTCACTTAAACATTTACGGGGCACAATTAAGCGCATTTTTTTAATAAGGCCAGTGAATCAAATTACAATGGATCGCACTCTGAATAAAAAGTAAGCTGCTAAATTTAAATTGAGTAATATGTCTGATTATTTCGCGTAAAAACCAACGAAAATTATACATTTCTATGAGTGTCCTGGAATGGTTGCCTCTCACCTTTACTTCATATTTGGTGACACCGTACAACGGCAGTTTGCGAGCGAATTGCAGATATTCGTTCTCGATTTGCTCCAACTTCATACCTCTGCAGAGCACAATTAGAAATTCTGTTAATTTGCTGGCAAATACGTAAATCCATGTGCGGATTGTGGATAATGATTTCCCCCTGAGATAGAACTATATATTCTGGCAGCCTGGTTCACGCGTGCCGGTTGCATGCACTAGCCTGGGAAATGTTTGATGCAGCGCCATGACGCTGTGCTCCATGCCGGCGTTCTGGATGTCCGATGGCGCGATAGAGGTCCTGGAGGCGTAGTTGCCGTGATGTACCGCCGGGTTAAAGTCACCCAGTTCCGAAACCACAGTCAGTGCGCCCAGGAACACATACTGCTCGGTGGTTGCCGGTAATCTGCACGCAAAAAAATTCGTACCATGTACAAATATTACTTATTTGAGCGGATCTGCCTTGCGGAAGCGCCAAGATTCGGCAAAATAAACTGGAAATTTACAGTGCACTCAGGTTAAACTGAAGCTGCCACCATGATTACGCTCACTTGTTCGTAACGAGGTCTCGGTGAATCTGAAGGAAGATGTGGTACCTGCAAATACAAGTACCCATATGAAATATCTTAAAGTTTATACATGTAACACCCGGTTACTGTCTTGTCTGCTTTACTTGGTAAGGTCATCTTTCAGGCTTTCCGGTGTCGGTGGGTAAAACTTTAAACGGAATTCGCAGTACCACTCGTCTAGCATGATGAAAACAAACTTTTATTTTTTGTTATAAAGAGAGCTCGCGGTTATCAAGCGACGGCATCCCAACAATTTTTGCGTTGGTCATTAGTTTTCATTTTTCAATAATGTCTCCCATTGCTGGGTCGTCTCACCTTTCAGCTGTTTCTTGAGACTCGCATCCATTTTGAGCCAGTTGGTCTGATGATCTGTGCGATCGGTGTACGTTAATCCAAATGCGTTGGTCATTAGTTTTCATTTTTCAATAATGTCTCCCATTGCTGGGTCGTCTCACCTTTCAGCTGTTTCTTGAGACTCGCATCCATTTTGAGCCAGTTGGTCTGATGATCTGTGCGATCGGTGTACGTTAATCCAAAGTACTCCTTCTCGCGTAGCTGCGATGCTTTACACACTTCGTCGAATAGCGCTTGCCCATCGGCATCTTTCTGGAACGTACAGTTTTTTGTTTTTGCTGCCTTTGAAGCGACAACTCGTAATAATGTACGGAATAGAGACATACTGGTAGGTCGACTTTGATATCCTTTCCGTTAAGTAGGCGCACATTGGCTGACGGCATTTTGGGGGGATTGAGACACAGTATAAAGATAGACTATAATAATTTATATAGAGACACAGTACATACAATAGAAAGACTATATAATTAGTCAGTTAAAAAGGATACGAAGGATGCAGTCGCCGTCGGATGGGAATCAAAACGGTGGAAAGAGGCAAACGTTTGATCAATTAAAACAGTGCAATGCTACTCAGCAGTCGAGTGCGTTGCACCTGTAAAGCACCTTACCAGGAATTCAGAAACTGAAGTTTTAAGCCAACATTTTGCGGTACACGCAGCTAATATCGCTTTGTAATTATCACCTCATAGACAAGATAATACATGTACTTTATGAGGAGCATGACTAATAAGTAGCCGTCAATCGCCGATAAGATAATGACTCGAACGTTTTATACGGGGCCGTTTAACTTGTAATAAGGGCCGTGAAGTTGGAAACATTACATGTGCTGATAATTAATTTATTATGCAAATTTTGTTTACCGAACATGCTGCAGTACATTTAAAGGTAGTAGAGCAATCCTCTTTACGTCATAGAAATATGCTAGAAAAGTTGCATTTCTGCATTTTTGCCGTTTCGTGGTGCAGTGATTTACGATTACTACAACTGTAACATAGGTACACGTACACGTTAGTAATACACGTACACGAACCATAATTATCATAATTTATTTGCCATTAGATCAAAGTCATCAAACTACCGTACAAGCACACCTGCATTTTCCCGATATCACCCTGCCGATAATAACTTGTTCCGCTTACAAACAGAAATTCTCGGGGATAGTCGCGAGAATTACTTTATGTGGCGTTAATAAAAATCTAAGCGCGTGAACTTCTGCTGTTTCCGCTTGTTTCAGCCCACCGGAAGTGCGTCATCGTCACGTGCAGCGTTCGGTCGGTAGAGGGCGCTGTAGCTGTCACGTTCATGCTGAGACATGCTTGCAGATTGTCAAAACTCCAAACCAGCTCCAACCAGCCGTTGATGCTGAACGCTGCGTATTGCACAGAAGGCCAAAACTGATTGGTACTAGTTATAAAACTTTAAGAATTCCGGAGCTCCGACAGTTCTAGAATAGTTTCGTTTACTCAGATTGGAATTTTAAGTTTCCCAGATTGTGGACCTATCATCACAAGTCAAGCCGTACGTCATACTGGAGTGGCTGCAGCTTGCCACAGTTTATTTGATCGCCAGTTTCCTGACGGCATAGACTTGTGTAAGTGGTTGAGTGGCGTTGTTTTAGTTGGGGTTTTGCTGCAGGTTGAGACGATCGTGGGACGTTTCTGGAGCATCCGTGTTTGCAGCTGTTTATTCATCGCAATAGACGAGATATTTTTTGGGCTGCTCATCCATTCGTGCTGTGCCTAGTCAGGTTAGTCGTCTTTTGCAAAAGTTGGTAATATTGGGTTTTTTGCTCATGATCGCATTTCGACTGAACCAGTTTAATTTTACGACCTAGTACAATTCTTCGGATGATCACATAATGTGGAAATTAGGAAAATTCGGAGCTCCGATGGTTTTAATGTTGATGTGCGTTAATTTCTTGATGGCTACAGGTATTTCGTATCTAGTTTTATGACATTTTTATCTTAAATTGATAAAATCTCCAAACTGATCGACATCGACCGCGGAAGGGTGCTTAAGAATACGATCAGTCGTACTGACGCTAATCAACTCTCAGGCGACATTCGGTATGGCAGAATCCAGCGAAGCGCTTTGTACGATATCATCGGATCTGAAAATCAGAAGCGAAATTCTAAGTTTTTTAATTGCAGAACATGTTTCCGGCTTCAAGCATGGAGCATTTCAGTGCTCATCCGCCCCCAGATCCCAAATATTCGGCCAGGTTCCGCCGACGATACACCGGAGCCAACTACCATCAGCCGGACCCCGGTATGTAGTGAAAACACATCGGTTTCAGACTTGGATTAGAGAGTTGTAATTTTGTTTCTTAGGTACACAAGGCCTGGAAGTTCTTACTGCGACGGGAGAAAGCGTGATTTCATTAGAAGGTAAGTTAGTTTCAGTACTGCGTGCGAGATAGCGCTGTTTCGGTTATCTGCACAGTCAAAATGTTGCCTCTGAATTCGGAATAAATCTTTGTTATTGTTATCGAGATTTCGTAAATTAAATTTAATACGTAGTAAGCGCTGAAACGGCGATGTTTAGGTTCTTAAACAAAAGTTAAATTATTATTGTTTGTTTCATCTGTCTTGAGATTTTCAATTTGTAGGCGGTCACTACCTGACGCGTGGAGAACGGTTCGCACGGCGTATTGGCCAATATTACGCGCGAGGAGATTTCGGGCAGAGGAAAACGTTGGCCACGTGTATGTATAATTAAAACTTTGTGTATGCTTTTGGTGTGATGTTGATTTAAAAAGTTTCTGATGCTTCTAGCCACGCAGACGTGGAAATTACCACCTGTTCCAGCTGCAAAGATTCCGCAAGCAGTGTCATTCTATGTCAACGTTGCTGGACTCCACGTCGCTGTTAAGAAGTACTTGTACATTCCTGCAGATCTTGTGCGACGGTTTCCATCTATTGGGAGCTCCCAGGAAATCGTAGGACGCGGGGTTGAGAAACGTATTTATCTGAGTCATTACCAGATAATTCGTCTGTTGAAAGCTATTTCAAAGTACGTGTATCTGACGTCGGTCTACTCGTACTATTTTTGTATCGGTTGTTTCGCAGGGTGAACCTACCGACGACCATCGCTTTGCCTGCGGCGTTTACTCCCAATGGATGTATTCCAAGTGGAACGCAGACCAGGCTGTTGTGTTTATTGAGCTTATTTTCGACGCGGGAGCTCCCGATGCGCTCATCTTAGACTTGTGTCGACCTTGCGGCGTAGCGTTGAACGGGATTCTGACGTACGCACAATGCAGCAGTGGATGAATGCTTTTCTCACAGCAGCATTCTATAGAGGTCGTCTTGAACTGGCAAAGCAGTTAGCTATACGCATGGATTTGTATGGAATGGCTGTAAATATCCAGAAAAAACTGGACGAACGTCGTGACTATCATTTCTGGTAATTAAAATTTCAAATTTTAATTTTAGATACACCTTTACTTTTTCGGTCAATAAGTTAGTGGAGTTACTGATCATATTTTCTGCAGCGGGCTATGTTATGATGCTTAAAGTAGCAGCCCTTGAAAGTCAATATTTTACTTTGTATTATTTACTTACAGGGATTACGACGCAGCAGCTACTTTTGTCCGACGGGAGATGCGGGACGACATGAAGATGCAGTTGAAAATGCGGGAGAAATCAGACACGTATGTATTTACCCAAATTTTATTGGCTTTTATTTTACATCGTGCGAATGAGGAGTATTTTGTATTTTGACAACAAAAATTAATTTTCATTGTAGACCGCTCACTAACCATCCGTGTGCTTACGCATCAAACCGGTGCAGGGTTACGGGCACTGTTCCATTTATAAATCGTCATATCAGTATTTGCGCTCGTAAACTGCCGGAAGTCAACTGCATCCCGTGCCGCGATTGTGGATTGCTGTTACCGCCCGGAGCTCCGGATGCACTCCACAATCTGCGGCACTCAGCGAATTGCGAGCGGCGTACCGTTGTCTGGACCGATGATCTTCTGCATACGGATGTTTTTGAGAAGCCACCGTTCCCTTCCGCTGGGCCGCTGGGGCAGCTGTATCTGGTGCCGGCTGATAATGTTGACCGACTGGTTTGTCAGGTAAATAGTATATTTTAAGATTATGTTAATAAATTTTAATAGTATGTTTTTAAAATTAATATTTTTCGTCTTTTTTTACGGTTGCTATTGCATGCACAAAAGTGGGTACAAAATAATTCATGCTTGTTTTGTAGGTGTTCGAGCATTTGGCTGATTCCGGGTGTAGTTTCATGCTTCGCTTGAGCGAAGTGCGCCGATACTGAAAAACTGAAAAGAGGAGCTCCTGTTTTTGGTGTAAAGTTAGGTGTGAGTTTTCATATTTTCTCCCGAGGCAGGACAGCATTATGCCGTTGTGATTGGTTATGCGATAATTCTGTCATTTTTCCTGCTCATTTGACTTTTCTTACTTGCCCATTTGACTTCTTTTTTGCTTGCTTTCTCACAGTTCCGCGGCTGCGTACTTTTGTTTGCTTGTTCTGCAATTGTTGTTGTGTGACTGTGTCCTGAACCTATTTGCTTGTGTGGTAATGAACATTTGTACGAATTCTGTACTTTTCAGGGCCATATTTCTTGAAGTGTTGCAGACATGCGCAATTCTAATCGGATGCGTTTCGATTGCTGCAATATGTGACTTGTTGTAAGAATTGTAACCTTAGTGTCTCTCATGTTCAGTAGTGGCTTTTAAATTTTAACTGTGCTTCTACCTAATTATCGCGGCTGTTAGCTTTTGTGGAAGTTGGTATGCCGGTTCGCGGAAGGATACATGAATTCAGTGCCAAATACTACACGGTTAAATCTGACCAAATGTGGTCATCCGGAGCCTGATTCCTTCGTCATGCTGCGCGATATTCGCGACCCTGGGATGCCGTGGTTGGGGTTTGTTATCGGCCAGACGCTTTCCTCAATATGGTACTGGGCTGCTGACCAGGTAAATTATGTGGTAGAATAAAAACTAGGGAATTTATTGTTTTGTATAAATTTTGTAACGTCAGTTCAAGATGTAAGTAATGATTGATTTTCGGGCTGTTAATAGAATTAACAATAATATTAATCGCGTTTTGTGTGGTGTAGATGATGGTGCAGCGTGTGCTATCCTCGAAAATTATATCGGATGCCCAAGGTGGCTGTATTCTTGCTGGAAATATTTGAGATTGCTGCCATTGTTTATTGTGGTCATGCCCGGTATGATTAGCCGTGTGTTGTGGCCGGACGAAGTGGGATGCATCAATCCAGACATTTGTGAACGGATTTGCGGGAATTGTGTTGGTTGCAGTAATACTGCATGCCAAAACTCGTGATGCGTCTAATGCCGGCGGGACTGCGCGGGTTAATGATAGGTACTTACATAAATGCTGCACTGGTGAACGATATCTTGTGGCTAGTTAGAAAAATCGTCGGGTTTGCGCTACCACCGTAACAGTTTTATTACCAAACTGCGCGCTTTAAACTCGTTAACGTTAGCAGCTTCGTACCGCACGCTAAGTTATAATTATAATTGTTCTGTAACGTAAATGTTGGTATCCCTGGTGTCCGACTTGTCTGCTATATTCAACAGTGCTTCCAGCTTACAGTGTTTACTATTGATGTGTCGGTACGAGTACATCAATAAATTTTAGCATTTTTAATCACGTGCGGGCTATATGCATACTTATTGTACTAGTACAGTGCGTTTCGCAGGTAAATCGTTGAACTCTGTAATTAACGTTCTAATTAAAATCAGGAGCTCCTATATTAAAGAAAATATAGACACTAGATGCACACTAGATTGGCGTTTGAGCCATTATAGAAACAACCAACTCATTACCAGATCTGTCTTGAATGAGCATGCCGTTATTGCGAACAGAACCGGTTTTAGAACGGCCAGCTGATTAGAAATTTTGACACAAGTATAATTTTTCTGAAATAAAGTATTATTCAGGAAACTATCTTTGCTGAACTCGTAATATCTCCATGCTTTCCTCTGGAGAACGGTAGCGATGATGAATGCTGCTCTTCGGTTCACTAAAATTATAGCCCGTGCAATGTACGGATTGCCCTTTTGATCCAAAAATACTGAGTCGACGTGGTTTTCTTTTCTTTTATAGGAAGCAATATCCAGGCGCGAACCAGATTCTGTGATACATCGCTGGTATGTCAACAGCTGAGGAGCTCCTCTTAAAATTCCCAATCCGTGAAGGTAGGCATACACCGGACGATCTGTGGCTTGCAGTTCTTCGATCGATTTTCCTTTTCCACACAGATATGCCGCTCCCGTGAGCGACTTCAGTTTTATTGCGCTTGCTGGTAAGTTCTTTGTCAAAGACTGACGCATCCGTTCCACTTCCGGTGTAACGTTGTCTCCAAAGCACGCCATCAAAAAATCAGAAGAAAGTCCAAAGGCAACCTTTCCAGCGATTTCCTTGTGCTGCTCGTTGGCCCCTTTCAGGTGAGATTTCATCTTTCCTACGTAGTCTTCATGCTCGAAAGCCCAGAATGATGTTGGATGGCCTAATAGATACACGTATTCGACCAGATGGCAGCACATTTGGTGCAAATTATACGACATGCTTCTTTTGCCAAAAGTTTGTTGAATTTCTAGGCCAAACTGGATCAGTAGAGCGGAGGTTTCCAGCAGTCCAGCTTCAGTGATATCCTGACCGAAAAGATACTGTGTGGCGGCAGCAAACTTTGCGTACATGAGGAGCTCCTCTTCCGGCACAATTCCGTGCAAGCAAGGTAAACTGTAATACAACGTGAAAGCCATGTACATGGAACCTTTCCACTGGCCTATCTCATCTAACGTTTTAGGCTTCCGTAATGTAGACGGCGGTTGCAGTTTTTCTAGGAAAGAATTAATTTTTTTCCTGTTATCTGGCGTTAACTTCCACGCTGTTCCCTTCAAGCGATACTCCATAAATTTCTCCTCCAACCCTTCGAAGCACAAGTGCATAGGCTCTACCGGCATTTGGGCAGGTAAGTTATAATCTGTCAGTTTCATCAGCTCAGACATTCCTTGCAGTCCAATAAACTCGTGCAGTTGATCAGGAGCTCCTAAAACTGCTGCACGCGCACGCGCTCGCTCTTTCGTAATCTGAGCATCTCGAAGTTTTGGTAGACGGAATGGCGCCTGCTTTGAATTTACCATTGGGTAGCATTTTATCGTTCTTTCGTCTACGCCAGGATTCAAAAGAACCCTTTCCCAGCATATTCACAGTGCACGCATCCAAAGTCAGCCATGAAGGAGCTCATATGCGCAATCGGCCATCGTTCCTGGCTGTCAGCGATATAAGTAAGAACTCTCACAGGCAGTATTTTTTGTTCACCATTTTCCGTGTAAATAATGCCGTTTTGTTCCAGGTCGAGGAGCTCCTCCATAACTGGATGTAGAAGTGCCTGCTTCCAGTTCGCGGGTTGCTGCCATTTTGTTGAAACAATTTTTCACTTTTGTTCCATAGTCCTAGAATGTGCGGGGTTGGCCGTTTGTTTTTCACTGGTAAGTGATAGCTTAAAATCCATATATTTGATTTTGACGATTTCGCTGTTGCCGCTCCATCGGAAAATAGCGCTATCGGAAGAAATCGTCCAAGCTTTCGGGCATAATTTTTATAAATCTCACCATCTGTAAAAGAAGTAATGCAATCTTCGTCTTGTGCTGGCACATTGTAGGAGCTCCTAAATTTGGCCGACTGCGCTAACGCTGTTATCCTTGGCTTCAATGGGAAATGCACAAAGGTAAACAGGCTGAGTGAACCTTTCGGATACTGGCTTTCGCATTTTGGGCAATTGGTAGTTCCTTCGGTCCGCTGTTCTGCGCCAATGTAACTGCCACACAAAGGGCATGCAACATGGAGGTCGTATTTTGGGAACATATTTCTTTTCGAGTCCCGCTTCCAGTTGGTACAACGTTCTGGGGAATTTGGAATTTTCAGGTAACAATAAAGAAATTAAATTCAGCAACGATTCCTGCGCGTCGTAAGATATGTTAGACTTGTCACAAGTCTTTAAAAATAATCCCAAAAATTGACCAATTGTGATTTTAGCAGATGGGACAGGAACACGATCCCAGTCGTCGTGGAGCTCCACGTGGACTTCTTGTGGTTGTTGTTGAAACTCATCATGATCTATAACGATAGTATTCTCGGCTGCTAGTGTGCTACCAAATAGATCTACTCGTACCATTTTCGCCAGGTTCTGCCGCAACAGTTTCAATCAACTCTTGCTGATCGGTGGCATCCACCCCGTCAAGAATTTCTGCCCAGTCGTCGAGGAGCTCCTCACGAACTTGATGGTTTCCTGCGTAGCACATAGCGGTTCAATCACACTTCCGTTCCAGATATATCAAGTATTAAATTCTTGATGAATTTGAGATTTAATATATCCGGAACAGCTGTGTTACTTGCCGTCGCCGATACCACCATCATCCCGATAATCAGCGCCCAAAGCTGCTTCTGGAATTGTGGTTTTCCGTCTGCGGTTCCGGTTGGCATGCTGCCGAATGCCAACTTTACGCCTCCTGCGTTCCATTTCACAAGGTAAACGATTTTATAAATCAATTTTAACTTTAAAATAGTCAATGTACAACTAAAAAATAAACAAACCTTCCTTCCAGTTATGATTAAAAATAATTTCTTAAATGAAGAACAGTTATTTTCACCTCCTTCTCTACGCGGGTGGATGTGGCGTGCCGAAGTTGCGCGCGGAGTCGCGAGCACAGTTTTGAAGGGTTTCTTTGTGTGCAATATTAGCATATTAATTCCGCTTCCGCTGAGTTTTGAGCGGAAGTCTTACTGGGAACGTTTCCTACCCACCGTTATTTATGAAGTTTTAAACTGTATGTTTTGGAAATAACGGCTAGCTTCACGAGTCACCAGTGACATCGATAGCTTTATCCGCGGAGCTCCGTTTTAGTTGTTTCGTTTCAGTTGCTTAAAATGTTGTTTCTGACTATTTTATTTTTCATGTTGCAGAAACTGAGTTAGATTTTAAAGTACACCATTTTTTGATCGCTTATAAAAATGTGTAGTAAAGTTACGACTGTTCGGCAGGACCAGAGAATAAAATTTAATGCCTGCGTTTGTCGTTTAGCGGCAAAAGGAGGTAATTCTGTATGCATGCAAAATTCGCCGATATTATTTGCATAGCCGCGGATATTTTCAGGTGCTGTTATTTCATTGTTCCACGATGGAATTTATCATGTTTCGGGAGCTCCCTTTTCTGATATCAAGTATTATTACGCGGCAAAGAATCAGTTTGATGACGACTTTGTTCCGGGCGATAAGTACAAATGCTATTTTCCTGAATCGAAGAAGGACCACGTAGCCGAATTTGTTGGATGGTTTCCCACGGAAGAGCGAGCCGAAATGCGACTCACCGAGTTGCAGCAGCGGGTAAATATTATTACGAAGTGAATATTATTAATAATTAAAGTGAATTTTAAGATAAAGTAGTTGACTATACTTTGTGTGTGTGTGACTGTAATTTAAGGACGGCAAAAGTCTGGAGCTCCAGCAAAGCGCCGGGCGACAAAGATGACCGACACGGAAATCCACAAGAAGGCGAAGCAGCCGGACGATAAGCAAAGTGGCTGCCAAAACCGCTAACGTTTCAGGAGCGAATGCGACAGAATGGCGTTGTGCTGGGGAATTTAGCAGGCAAGTTAAGAACCGTGCAATCTGTCGCTTGTTTAATGGAAGTGTAGGAGCTCCTTGCGATACTTTAACTAAAACATTTAGAAACTAATTTACATATTGTTCCACGCACAGAAAACCGTAGTGGTGGCCATCAACCGAGCACGTCCACAGGTAAACTTTCCTAACCTGTGCAGCTAATGTGACTGCATATTTAAAGGGTAGCCATCTCCGCGTAATTTTTTGGCAAGATTTCTGTTCGGTAAAATAGGGATCACCAGCCTGGCATCAAAGGAGCTCCCGTTGCCAGTGAATCTGCGTGGAAACACACAGCTGCCACACGCTTTGCCGACAACTTCAACCAATGGTAGGATTTGCATTTTGCATCACCATTAATTTTGCATAGCATCTGATTTTGCAGATCATTCGAACCGGCCGCTGGAAGAGCCGTCTGCTTCATATACGGAATTGAAACGTCGGAAATTCGCGTGCAAAACTATTTTAAATAATACAGCTGTTTTAATTTTTCTAGGAATGCAGCCACTGCAGTGTCCAGCGGCAGATGTATCTTTTGATCGTAAAGTTGGAAAGTCGACTGACTTTTACAATTTATGGGACACATTAAGCACTGGTATTTAAAATCAATTAAACAATTTAAAAAATTTCAAGGAGCTCCTTTTTTTCAGATGGTGCTTGGACAAGCCAGACTGATTTAGTGGAAAAAATTGCTTTCGATGTTAAACAAGCGGAACTGGATCGCGATGCATCATTCGGTTTAAATTATTTACAATGTCTACGGCTAACAAAATGGCATATTACAGAAGTGTGGGAGAACGCTGCTGTCCAACAGCAAAAGGCGCAGGGATTGTCGGAAGAGGATTTATACGTGGCATCTGACACGGAGATTTTTCGCGCCCTGGCCATGGCGGAAATTCCGGTGGTTGAAGATGGGCCGACTCGCAACACCGCCATCGTCACGTTTCCACAAGCCGCTTTGATGGGAGCTCCTGTATGAAAACCATCTCGTATAACACGTTTGCTTTTAATTACAGCTGTGCATATTAGTGATATTACTGATTTCTGATTTTTAGCCGACGGGACTGCTAATAGCTCAGATGTGAAAGTGCCCACTGTACTCGTGAAGAACACAGCGGATATGCGTAAGTAATTAACTGAACACACCAGCGCTATTACTTTTCTTGTTAGCTGCTGCTTTGATATTTTTTAATCAACATTTTGTGACTTTTATGTTATTTTTGTAGTGAAAAAGGAGTTCCATGTTGTCCAGCTGCCGCAAATTTCAGACAACGCCGATTTGTTGGAGGAAGGGTTTCCAGTTAAATTCAAAGATCACCGTTGGAAATGGCCAGAAATAGGAGCTCCTGTTACGGCTGATGAAGGTGCGTTTCATCTCCTCCGTTTTGAAGTAGACTGCTATTTTTGTTGATTATTGCGATCGTTTAAAAACGTTTTACAGAATACTATATTCCTCTGCGCACCTCAGAGCGGGAATTTCATCTAAAGAATCCTCCGAGGGTGAATCGTTCTGCAATTACTCTGCGCGACCAGTTGTCTCCATGGTTTTTCCAGTTGGGAGGTCCCGGAAAGAAACACCTGGACGTCGCCTTTCCTGCCGTTTTTGTGGACGATGATAGCCATTTTTTAGAGGCTCAGTTTCTTAATCGAAAGATCACCGCAGAGAAGTTTTCGTGGTACTTGATGTCGCGAATGATGGGAGGAGCTCCTGGCCTCATTCGTTTGGCGACGCTGTACGAAATGCACAAACAAACTGCCACTAACAAGCGGCAGTATAACTTCTACGAAAGAGTTTTGGGAATTGACTTCTTCCGTTCTGTTGACAGTAAGTGCTTGTGCGACTCCTACTACGAATTTGTGTAAAGTAATGATTTTTATGAAAATTTATTTTAATTAAGTAAATCTGTTTCCTTTTCAGAAAAGACTCGGGATTTAATTCGCGCTATGGTGCCCACTAATTCGGTGGCGCTGAAGCAGCTGCTCGCGCTGCAGTAATTAAAGGCCTCCGGAAATCCCAAATCCATGCAGTCCCACTTTGGCCATAAGTTTGCCAACTGGATGGATAAGTTCAAGAACAACACGAAAGAAAAGAGCTGTGGACCGCGCATTTTTCTAACCATCTAAAGGAGCTCCTATTGTGGTGGTATTTGTTGCTATTAAAATAAAATTTTGTTCCGTTACTTCGATGCCTGCGCATTATTGATATTTCTTCTGTTTACGTATTTCTGTTACCGGCGGTTACGATTTTATGCTGTTTATATGCTGAGCGTTGGTCTTATGATTGGTCGGTTTGTGCGTGCGCGGTACGGGCTGCTATGCCGTTTGAATGCTACGATAAAGTTACTGAATTTGGCGATTGGAGCATTTATTTCAAACCCAGCCAATAACTAGCTAGCAGTATGACGTCATTACACACGCCTGCCAACCACATAACTATTTCTGATTGGTTTATTTCTAACCATATAGGAATCGGATAAAACACGCGATGCACCAATGCGAGAGCGGACATAGTAAACAGTCCCGTTGATATGTGGAGTCATATTCTCGCAACGAGCTACGATCTCACTTTTTTCGGCAGGGTCAATATTAAGTATGAGATAGTTGCAAACTTTACTAACCAATAACGTTTAATCAAATTTGTAGCAGTATAGTGTGTGGTTGAGCCAGAAAAAAAGTCAAATAAATCCAAGAAGGCTGTTAACCATAATAAAAGCGGTTTTTATGCACTTTTTGTGTTCGTTTGTCCAATAACAAACTTTGTGTTGGTTTGTTGACAAGTTTTGATATATTAGCAATACTAATTTTATGTGATAGATGTGATTTTATGTGATAGATGAAGACAACAACAATCAGAATCAGTTCATCGTTAGTTTTATATATAACGTTATGTAGTACCAATTAAAAATGAATTATTATATCGTAAAGCTTATAATTATACGGTAGTATCTGTATAATATTATTATAAATAAATATAGGTATAAAGGTCTGCGATTCCTTAAGTATTTATTATTTAATCTGATTACCAGCGCTGAACAATTGTAGAAAAATTATTCCACATATCTAATACATATAGCTTGCTGTCACTGCTATTGTACCTTACCCCCAATCTGAATCTCTGAATCTTTTGACGTGCGTGCCGGTTGTACGTAATCCATCCTCTACTTCCGGTCAAACTGATATGTACCTATACTGTACACTACATGTACATTCATCTTGCAAACGTTAAGCGACACATCTCGGCACAATAATTGATGTATTTTAACAAATCTAGGTGCGCTCCTTTTGGATTAAATGTTCAGCTATGCATTCACCAAACATTTTGGAAGCCAAATAAAATAAAATTTTTTTATAAATACCACTGAGTTTGCAACATTTTGGCGCGCAGTGTACGGGCATTTCAGTACACCTGCTCTGACATAAATGCACCCGCCTTCGGCTTCCGTTGCCCGTGTGTGAATGAAACGAAGGCCATGCATGATCTGCGCGTGTTCGTTTCAATGTAGATTCATTACATGGTTTAACTGTTAACAGGTTACAACTTGAAATTGTTAAAATTTTTTAAACTTCTCATTCTGTTTAATTTTTTGCGAGTTATTTTCCTGAAAAGCTCACAGTTCAGTGAGTGTTTAACGATAAAGCGTTCCTTATCGCATACATCCACGTGTCTGTGACTGTCCATCTGTTGGATCTTGAAGTGGCAAGTTGGCCGCACTAAATTTTCGTCCACCATGAAGTACATTCTGGTGACGGGCGGTGTGATCAGCGGCGTAGGGAAGGGCGTCCTGGCCTCCAGCCTGGGCGCCATCCTCAAGGGCTGCGGCTTCCGCGTCACAGCCATCAAAATCGATCCCTACATCAACATCGACGCGGGGACCTTCTCCCCGTACGAACACGGTACGAGGTACCCAGGAACCCATCCCATAGGTTCCCTGCCTTCTCTGTGTGCTTTATCGCCTTCCCTGTGTTGCAGGCGAAGTGTTTGTGCTGGATGACGGCGGGGAAGTGGATCTGGATCTGGGGAATTACGAGCGCTTCATGGAGGTGGAGCTGGGTAAGGACAACAACATCACCACGGGGAAGATCTACAAGGCCGTCATTAAGAAGGAGCGCAAGGGCGGCTATCTGGGCGAGACGGTGCAGATTGTCCCCCACCTGACCAACGCCATCCAGGAGTGGGTGGAGCGGGTGGCCCGCATCCCCGTGCCTGATACGCGGGGGGAGAAGGAGCCTCTCCAGGAACCGCAAATCTGCGTCGTCGAGGTAAGCTGTAAACTCGTTGGTTGTTATATTTTATTGTTAAAACCATGATTAAAATTTTCAAACCTTTTCCCGATAATATTACGAAACCTTGCAACAGTTTGCATTTGGAAATCGTTCTGCATTTCTGAACGGATCAGCCCATTTTTGGGGGATTTTATCCCTGTTTCGGTGTGCGTTTGGATGGAAACTTGCTGGATTTTGACTGAGCCATTTCCTATTCTTATTTAACGTTTTATTTACTATTTTATTTACTTTTATTTATTTTTATCATTTTATTTATCTGGGCATTGCCATTTTGGTTACTTTTTGAAACTGACTCGTTTCTTTGTGATTTCTTTTATATAAGTTATAAGTACAATATTTTTATTCATTTTATGAATCCTTTTGGGTTGCAGTAGCCGTAGCGTAATTAATTCATTGTTTGCTGTTTGAGTCGACTTCCGATAATTTTTCTTGAAATTTCCAACGCAGTTCTCTGCGTTTTTGCTAGCTTTTTTTGTTATTGTTTTGCGAAGTGGGAACGAGGAATCGTTATGCGTAGAAGAAGTGTGAGTGCGAAATGATAATATTATTACTTACTTGTTAATCTCGTATGCTAGTGTAATCTAGTGGAGAATCGTAGTGTACTGGCGGCAGTGAAAGTGATCAAGAAATCAAGAATACGCAAAGCGCAATATCAGCTGTACAAAATTTTGGTAATTTTGAAAGTAGTTTTTCTGAATGCAGTAGGATGGTCTTTTTTGGTGGTGAGTGGGATGTGTCCGTGCAGAGTTCGGATTGCCATATGAAAGTTTAAAAACACTCAAGTTTAAAGTTTGTTGGAGTTGAAACACTGTATGTAATTCATGAGCACGAGAATTATAGAGATGTACTATATTGATAATTGTTATAACACATTGTCAGTATAATATTTTAAGTTTATTATATTGTTATGATTTATTACTAGTACGAGAATAATACATTATAATTTATCACTCTTACACTACACTGAAGCGCTCGGAGTGTTAAACGGGGATAACCTTTAATAAGTATCGGAATCGGATACAAACTCAGTAGTCAGTGCCAAAAACAAAATAATTGCTTATTAAAGTGTTAAATTCATAGGAAATTGTAGTGTAATGACTGAAGTGGTAACTTGCATCGACGTGATAAGCGGGAATGTTGGTTGCAAAATTATAATTATATTGTGAATTATAAATTTGAAATTACCGTGCCAATTTTTTTAATAATTTGGGGGCAATTCTCCGGAAATGATGGAGGGTCGCGTTTTTTACGAGTATTTTATTCCGAATAAATAACGATGGGTAAATTTGTTGTTAAACTGTAAAGCCTTGTCGATTTTGCGTAAAACATGTATTGATGTACGTTATAATTTGGATGTCTGATATAATTTTTTACTTGAAGAAATAATGAAATGTTTGTAGCTTGGTGGAACGATCGGTGACATCGAAGGTATGCCGTTCGCGGAAGCCTTTCGTCAGTTTCACAATCGCATTGGAAAAGAGAATTTCTGTGTGGTCCACGTCAGTCTGGTGCCTCAAGTAAGTTTGTGAATATGTACAAAATGACTGCATTTAAATGTTGGCTCAGAAGTTATTTATTTCCCTACGGTATTATTGCTAGAAATTAGGAAACACTGATATTTCCAGTTTAAGGAAACGGTTACGAACAGATACATGCTATGTAGTAGTAGTATGTACTACCGATGATGTTGACGAAATGCGGCCTGCGTTGATTAACGTTAGACTTATCCAGATTAATATTAGACTTACAAATTTTTTTAACACGTATGTTAGATTTTTAATGTCTTGCTAACTATTAGATCTTTATTATTGGTTTTTAATAGATAAGATTTTTATTATTTTTAATATTTTACTATTGGATTTTTATTACTGGTTTTTATTGTATTGAACTTCTTACGAAAATGTGGGTGGGTTGAATTTTTTCAGCCATATTTTCCAGACGAATTTATTGCTTTCTTGCGTTTTTGTGGTAATAATGATGTTGTTCTTTTCCTGGTAGATCGGCACCGACGGCGAGCAGAAGACGAAGCCGACGCAGATGAGCGTGATGGAGCTGCGGAAACTGGGCTTGGCGCCGGATCTCATCTGCTGCCGCTCCATCAATCCCCTGGAACAGTCAGTCCGCAAGAAAGTCTCCGGCACCTGTGATGTCACACCGGAGCAAGTAATCATTATTGATTCCGCTTTAACTGGGCAGAAGTTTTATTAAATCAGTTATTTAACGACAGTAATATTTCACTGACAATATGTATTATTACGATATTTTAGCAGAATTTTTGAAACAGTTTTATGAAAAAAAAAGTGAATTAAGCTGCCAGTTTTACATATTTACATAGATAAACAGTGGCGTCATTCTGATATCGTTGCCTTAAAATTTGCGAGACGTTTATGCAAAGAAATGCACTTTTGTGTCATAATATTTCGGCAATGAATAGCAGGGATGGTCGCGGTTTTGGGATTTGTTTTCGAAAATTTTTTTAAAAAAGTTTTCACGTCTGCCGCTGAAATTCATTAGTTACGAAGTCAGTTATTTAATTACTGGTGAATTTAGTCCTCGTTGTCCGTAAAAAGGATCATGGCAAACATTGATGGGAGGTGTTTTCGGCAGGTGATCAGCGTGCACGACTGCAAATCCCTGTACCACGTCCCCTCGCTGCTGCAGGAGCAGAACGTCATCCAGATCCTGTGTGAACGCCTGCAGATGGACATTCCCATCCACCCCAGCAACGGTGTGGCGAAATGGAACAACCTGGCCAAAACGTACGTGAAATAATTGGAGAAATTAATGGAGTTAATGTTGATGGCGATTGGTGTTAAACAGCATTGAAGAGGCCACGGTGGAAGTGAAGATCGCCATGGTGGGCAAGTACACCAAACTCAAGGACTCCTACATGTCCGTTAATAAAGCCCTGGAGCATGCCGCCTTGTTCTGCAAACGCAAACTCGTCATTAAGGTAATACAGGTTTTCTTCTATTTATTTTGTAAAATTGCGTGTACTTATATCTATATTTTGATTTGTTGTTGATAACGTTAATACTTTTTGTAAAATTAACGTTATTTTGTTGTGTTTAACTTATTTTTTCTTATGGTTCGTATATCTTTGCTCGGTTGTTTGCGCTTGCGTTTTCTGTTGAAAGGAGGGGATTTTTCTCCACATTCCAGTTTTCGCATTGCATCAATATTATTTTGTACAATTGTACAGAATTGTCGTTAATGTTAGCGTAATGTTGCAGTATATTGATGCAACCAATCTGGAGGAAGAGTCGAAACACTCCAAAGATCCTGCGAAGCAGGAGCAGTACGCACAGGCTTGGAGTGTGTTGAAAGAGTGCGGGTAGGCATGGACTGCATTCTGAAGGGATCGTTGAGGTTTTGATTGCCGTATTATTGTAGGGGTCTGTTGGTGCCGGGCGGATTCGGTACACGCGGCATCCAAGGAAAAGTGGACGCCATCCAGTGGGCGCGCACCAACCGTGTCCCGTTCTTAGGTCAGCAGCGGCATGTCCGCGTAATTAAGTTCAACGCCGTTGAACGTTAAAAATGCAGTATATATAAATTTACTTGAATTTACTTGTAATTTGCCACTGCTATAAAATAGAATGAAACTGTTCTCGTACTTGTGTTCTGACTTGTAAAGTGTAGAGTCATAGTTGTATTATATACGTCTACAACCGATAAAAAATACATGTGATAAAAATGTGTAGATTGGATTCGTGAAAATAGTACTGTACTGCTGTCAGTAAAAACATACAGAAGTAGGGAAATAGATTATATAAAAATATGTCGACTTCTTCAGGTGTATGCTTGGGATACCAGTGCGCGACCATTGAATTTGCTCGCCATGTTCTGCAACTGGAGAACGCCGACTCCACTGAGTTTGACCCCATCACCAAAGATCCTGTGGTATGTCAACCGGCCTAATAATGCCGCAATTTTCTAACAATCGTTATCTTTTTGTACTATTAATTTTATGGAATTTATTATTCAGCCAAGGAGAAATGAAAACTATGAAAGTTATTGTCGTATGACTCCTCATGTTTATTGTCAGCTCTATGGGAGATGGTAGTGTGGTGGCTGTTAGACGTGTCATTTATGTAATGTCTATTCGGCAGCTGTTGTCAACATGCTTGTATTCCTTGGAATACTTTTAATTTTTTTTTTAAATGTTTGGGCTGTGGAGTTGTAGGTTATGGTTAAAAATGTGCGGAGCATCGATCGATTTTTTCCCCGCTGGTTTCAGGTGATTGAAATGCCGGAGCACAATCCTGGCAAAATGGGAGGCACTATGCGTTTGGGGAAGCGGACAACTATTTTCTGCGAGGAGGATTCCGTCATCAGTAAGCAGTCACTGAATAAATTGCGACTTCAACGCTCTTGCCGTTTTTCACTGCTCTTTGCGGTTTTGTTGAAATTTTTGTTTTCAAAATTTTCCTGTCTGAGAATTCTGTGAATGCAGTTTGAAACCGAGGTGATCAAGTGTACAAAAATCTATTTTCATATGTTGTAGTGTATTATGTATTTCCTTTTCAATATTATCTTCATTTCCTACTGGTGTCGTTGTTATTTACGAATATTATTGTGGTTGTCACCTTTATTTGTTGGATTTTCATTTGGTATTGATTTTATATTTTTTATTTGTTTATTTTCTGTTATTGTATTATTATTCTTACCTTCATTTGTTTACCTTTGCTAAAGATTTTTTTATATTTTTCATTTATTGTTTGTTATTTATAGGTACTATTGTTTACATTCAGTGGGTGCTCGTTTGCTGTTCATTTTATTCGTTATTGTTCTACTGATTTTTTATTCTTGTGCATTAATAATTTTGTTAATATGTTGCTTAATAATAATTTTGTTAATTTGTTTGTAGAACGCCTGTATGGTAACGAAACAACCGTGGAGGAACGCCACCGTCACCGCTACGAAGTCAACCCGGCGTACATTGACCGGTTGGAAGAGCGCGGAATGCGCTTCGTGGGCAAAGACGACACCGGCAAGCGCATGGAGATCATGGAACTGGAGGGTCACCCGTACTTTGTCGGCGTGCAGTTCCACCCCGAGTACCTCTCCCGCCCCCACAAACCCTCACCGCCCTACGTCGGCCTCCTGCTGGCGGCCAGCGGACAGCTGAAGACCCACCTCCCGGACCTGGAGAAGGCGCAGCGGAAAGTGGTGAACGGGGTCCCGGAGGTGTCTCAACCGATGGTCAACGGGAAGAAGGAGGTGGAGGCGGTTCCTGTGTGCAACGGGAAGAAGATGCCCGTGCTGGAGGACGGCGGAGGGGATGCCGGACGGGTCAATGGGTTTTGAGGGGCGTTTTGGAGGGATTGATTTCGGGGGCTTCCGTTTTGTTGGGTTCTGTTAGTGTTTTTAGTTCAGGTTCGGGTTTGTTGTTGTGGGAGAATCTGTTGGTTTCCTTTTCGGCCTTATTGTTAGAACGACAAGGTAGTTGCGTTGCCGCGTTTGATAGCGTTCGATCCTCTGGGTTCCGTTACCTAATTTTACTATATATATTCGTTGATTTAATATTACAGTAATATAATATAATAAATACATTATTCGTGCGTCTGAATTTCCTTAAACAAGTCGCCCTATTGTGCAGCAAACAAGAAATGTAGCATAGGGAATAAACAGCATGAAGGAAAGGTTATTCACCTTGGAGTATACACCAGGGCTGGAAGTGTGATCCAAGAAAAGTTGTTCTTTCAACCCTAACATTGAAAAATAGTTTATAATTACGTACTGTATTCAGCTTGCTGATCAAGCTGAGTAATCTATAAAGATTTTGGGAGACCCTGAACACTATTACAGTACAGTATGTATTTAGGCTTTATAGTGATTTATTATTATTATAGTGCTTTATAATTTTTTAAAGTTTGTTTATAACAAATTAACTGTTTTAAAACTTATTGATACTAAATACACGTAATTGTTAAAAGATTGTTTTGATGTATCCCGTACAACACATTAATGATTAACGTACGTAGCGGTACAATGCAATTGCACACAATGTGTTGTACAATACCTGAGGCATCGCATGTTTTTACGATTAGTACAGTACTCGTATATTATTCCATCGTCGGCAATTTGACTGCAAATCACTATAATTGACAACGGCACAATCAGGCGTGCCGAGGGTATACGAGGCGTAGCGTGCCTAGCCATTGTCATTTCAGTTGAGACAGTAGCGCGAGGCATATGGGACTGCTTTACAAGCATATGAAAACTCTATTCGGAATCAGATCAAACAACTTCTTTTAATGCCGTTTTCCTTTTAATGTCGTTTACTATAACATCTAAATAAAGTTATAAATACTTCCATACGAGGCGTGTGTCCCTTACTTAGATAAGGGCACATTTACCTTACCATACTTAGATAACTGTGCCCGTGTTGTGCACTCAATTTGCAGCGCTGTCAACCACCCAGAGATGGCAACGCTAGGGCGAATTTCAAAATGTGTTGATTCAGCCGTTGATAACTTCAGGTGCTCACATCTCGTGAATGTAGGAACAAAACTGTTCAAGCAATATCTCAAAGATGCAGAAAAAATTAACAAGATTTTTGATACCAAGTAATATAGGATCTAGAGCAACTGAAACAAGTTGTAGCCTTTTGAGTTTCTCGTAGACACACTATAGGATCTCTTCGTGGACCCTTCAACGTAATACTTACTATGCTAAGTCTATGGGAACAGAAATGCCTCTGATTTATTTCAGTCGCTCTAAATCCTGACTTGCTTGGTATCAAAAACTTGTGAATTTTCCACATCTTTGAGATATTGCTAAACAGTTTGTTCCCACATCCGAGATATGAGCAGTTATCAACGGCTGATTCAACAGATACCAAATTCTCCTGACGTTGCCATCTTTGGGTGGTTGACAGCGCTGCACTGTAGCACAGTTATCTTAGTATGGTAAGGTAAATGTGCTCTATCAGCCAAATAAAAAGACTGACGGAATCCCTAGGTGTTTTACCGGCGCATCAGTCTCTGTTTTTACTCAGAAATAGCATGTCCCTGCCGCGACTAATGTATATTCTCAGGTCAGCGCCTTGCTACAAATACTCAGAGAAGCTAAGAGAGTTTGACGCTGTGATTAAGTCCAAGGCTGAAGAAATTACAAATGTCAAAATGGATGATGCTACGTACGCGCAAGCTTCTCTGCCGGTCAAATCAGGAGGGCTAGGCTTACCGAAAGCGGAAGAAATTTCAACACCAGCATACCTTTCTTCACTTTATGCCACTGACGAGCTAGTTAATAGCATTGTGCCCGATGACTGCCCTGATGACCGACTTGACGTAGAACATCAGTGGGAAGAATTAACAAGAAAATCCGCCCCGGCGATAGGGGATCGAAGCAATCAACGCTTGTGGTCAGACATGTTGACTATCAGGAAACTGGAAGCCTTGAGGGAGAACGCCGACGTTATCGCATCTGCTCGCTTGTTGGCTGTCTCCACTAAGGATGCCAGTGCCTGGTTGTTGGCTTTGCCTGTTGCTAGCCTTGGCACGCTTTTAGACGATACTGGACTACGAGTCGCAGTCGCTTTACGTACTGGGAGCTCCGATTTGTAAGCAGCACAAGTGTCGATGCGGTGAAACAGTTGACGCCTTAAGGTTTGCATGGTTTGTCATGTTTAAAAGTCAGGAGATTCAGGCGTCACGCAAGCCTGAACAGCCTTATTCAGCGCAGCTTGGGATCGGCAAAGTCCCGACTATTTTGGAGCCTCCTGGACTGTGCAGGTCAAATGGGAAGCGCCCAGACGGTTTGTCTCTTTTCCCTTGGAAGAACGGTCTTCCTTTGATTTGGGATGTGACGGTGTGCGACACATTTGCTATATCGTACATCGCCGGCTCATCAGAAACAGCGGGTTCGGCAGCAGAAGACGCGGAAGAACGAAAGAGGCGCAATTACGAGGAATTGACTGATCGTTATTTTTTCCAACCGGTGTCCTTGGAGACTATGGGAAGTTGCGGCGCCAGTACCCGTCAGTTCATAAATGAAGTTGGCCGACGCATAAAGATCAAACAGGAGAAGTGCGCGCTACCGATTTTTTTGTGGCAGCGTATTAGTGTTGAAATTCAGCGTGGAAATGCCGCTTCTGTCCTCGGAACTGTTGGTTGTTCAAAAGAGCTTGAAGAGTTGTTTTACTTGTTCTAGCTATTCGATATTTGAGTTTAAGTGTAAATGGCATTTGCTTGTACAAGTTTAAAATAAAGGAATATGTGCTCTATCTAAGCAAGGGACACACGCCTCGTATATATGGAAGTGATCTAACCATGCTTTGCGCTGACATTGTGCAAATCTGCTTAAGAGTTCAACGTCGAAGTTTATCTGCAGTTGTGACTTGTGCGATGCTTGCAGATTGTGAAATTGAAAAGCTCATATTTTCGAATTGTGCTTACAGTGAGTATGTCCCAGTAAATTTTTTAAACAGTCTGTGAATTAACGACAGTTGTTTTAGTTTATGGAATGCTTGTATTAGTTAATTTGACTTTAACTGAGATTATCCAAAACGCGCGCTAAGTAAAAATTTATTTTCGATTTTAAGACGGGCATGTGTTGTCTGGGATATCTTCAGAATGTATTTATAAATAATTCAGATAATGTTATAGAGCACTGCAATGGTAGCTACTACTATTAGTTATGTATATACTTTTTATTATTTAAAACGAAACATCTAGCAGCGAAATTGCTGATAATAAATCGCGGTGCGAACATTTCACAATACCAAAGTGAACTATATGATACTATAAGATAATATGAGTTAAAGTTTTTACAAAATCGACAACGTTATTGTTTTTGCTTGCGAATTGGGGCACGGCAACGATCTGGTTCAACTTCTCAGAACTAGTTCATTTTTGTGTAAAATTTAAAAAATGAATGTTAAATCGTAGAAAAGTGCTAATATATAAGTCGTAAGTTGTAATTTGTAAGCGTAACAGAGTCAGAGTTAAAACATACGATATACTGTGATTCGTTGGTAAAAACTTGTCATAAATCGTTTTTCACAATCGTTGTAACGACAAGTAAACAACGCTCACACTTCACAAGTTCTGTACAAGAGCAACTCGAAAGCCATTCAAGTACAGCGAAGTCGCCGCCTTGGTTACGTGTATATGGCAAGAGCTATAACTTGGGACACGGTTTACTTTTGCAGAAAACGGAGTGTGACATTTTACTGGTATAGCTAAAATTGTTAAGATTAGTTTAGTTTTGTAGTAATTTCTGTGCTGAAAAACTCCTCTTTGACCGTACTTTGAAAAAACAAACAGAAGAGTGAATGCGCGTAGAAATGTGAACTGCACTGGTGTTTTTCCCATAGACGCATATGCTTAACCTTGCGAAGCGTCTCATCCGAAATGACACAATAGAGCCGAAATCACACCTCATTAGCGATTGTGCCGTTGTCAATTATCTTCCAGAATGATACGTACTGTACTCTTTTGCTTTATTACAAGCATCAATGTACTTGTAGAAGTCCACTGTCCTTGTGAAAATGAATAATTTGGAGATGATGAGTTCACAACTGTACCGCCCTCGCAGGGATAAAAACTGGATTTGCAACCAATAGAAAGTTATGAACAAATGTTTGCCAAATATCATTTGTCTAGAGGTAGCAGCGTCGACCAATCAAATAATCTAGTCCCACCCTCTTAGTTTAAACAGCATCGGTACGTACACATCCCGGTTGAACAAGTGCAACGGACTGAAAGTTCTGTGTAGTGCGTCTGTGTGAGCGGCGAGCGCGATGCATGTCTGCTCCATTCCGCTCTCCCTTGTACAATACGACGCTGCACTCGCACTCTGCCGTGCGGATGGATCGCTGGCGCTGGATAGGCCAGCCCCCTTGACACAATATGGAGTATGGACGGCCGTATTCCTGGAATGACGCCGTCGTGTCACGGCCTGCTGCCTGCATGCCAGCACACAGCGTGGAGCAGATCAAACAGCACTCATGCATCAGCCAGGCACGAACCACATGCAACAGGTTCCTCTGCGTTTCCGAGATTGCTATGGTTATTGCTAGAGAGTATAACTTATACTCTCTCTTCCACAGTCCCATTTTGATTTCCGTTCTTGTTGTAACATATCCAGGCATCATTGAGCCATCTTGTCACCATCATTAGAGTGTTGTTGATCCAGTGTTACTGAAAGGGGAAAACCCGTACATCGGGCAGAAAAACCAGGTATGAGGAAACTGGAAAGTTAATGTTCTGGGAAAGTGAAAGCCAACCCGGATTCTGTTCTTCCCGTGTCTGGGTCCATAAAAATTTTTATATTCCCAATTTTCTTGTTGACTAAATGGTTTTATCAGGTTCCGATGGCTCCTGGAACGTACAGATTGAACTTTAACTCTGGATGAATTTCAATTACCGAGGAATTTCTTATGAAAATATCATTAAATATGATATTACATAATATAATATAATATACGGTTTAGAACTTTAGTAATCCTTATTTTTAAAATTGAAAAAATGATTCACAGATCCTGTTCTTCCCGTGTCTGCACTCTGCGCCCATAATTATTTTTCGATTTTTTTTGTTGAGTAAATGATTTTATCAGATTTTGTTTGTCCATGGAAATGCGGGATTCAGCCTTAACTAGAATGAATTAATTTTTTTAATAAATCAATAAATATTTATATTAGAAATTATTAATCATTATTTTCGAAAATTATTGTGCGTAATTAATTTGAAAAAATATTGACAATTCTTGACTGAATTGGAGCGAAATCTTGCCACAGATTCAGCGATGACCAGCGCATCCGTGGCCCGCGGCGGCCCGCTGGACGCCCTGAAAGACGAGCCCTCCGACAGCGACGTCTCCCCCCGCCGCAGCCTTCGTTCCGCCACGCGCAAACCCTCCGAACCGCCGCTCAAGCGCGAACCCATCGTGGAGTACGCCCCGGCCCCCGTCGACGATCCCGACTCCCCCGTGGACTTCAGCAACAAGGGCTCGGTGGAGCGCGACGAACAGGAAGGGGGCACTGTCATGGAGCCCCCGGGGGCGGCGGGCAGCGACACCACGCGGCGCACCTTCGTCTGCGACCTCTGCCACAAGCACTTCTCCAACGCGGCCAACATGCGCCGCCACCGCATCCGGCATTCGGGCGTCAAGCCCTTCGAGTGCAAGTTCTGCCAGAAGAAGTTCTTCCGCAAAGATCACATGCGGGAGCATATGGCGCATAAGCATAACACCGTCCAGGTCAGGCATTAAATTAATTTTTCCTTTAGTAATTTAATTTTCCCCATACTTTTAAAATTAAAAAGTGCATTTACTACGAAATGCAATAACGTAGCTGAACGAAAATCATTAATTAAAAATTAATTTTCAGAGAAAAACGAATAATAAAATGCGCGTAAGCCAGTACTTAATAATGAACAGAATAAATATTCAAAAAATTACAATAAGAAGAGGCATACTTTATTAAGCTGTTCTGTACACCCTGGTCACGCTAAGTTAGCGGCACGGCTTTTATTTTTCTGCTGGATCGTGTCACCCATGTTTTTCCGATCTTTTTTAAATTTTCTGGTGCAGTTTTCTTTTGCGCATTTTTTGAACATAAGTTCACTAGACTTTTCGTTGCGATGCCGCGAGAAATAGTTTCGGAATGGAAGGCATCGATAAAACGGAGTCGTGACAGTGTTCGAAAAACATTTTAATTGAATCAGAAAACCAGGAATAACTTTTAATGCTAGGAATTAAGCCTAATTTAATAATGACAATTACGAGAGTTCGGAATTCAAACGGCTAGACCATACTTGCAAGACGCCTTAGGGAGCAGAACCGCTTTTTTCGCCCTAACAAAGCGTTGGCGAAAAAAATGATTGCGGCCATTGGATACTGTTGCTATGGAGCGTCGCGCGCTTATGTTGCGGGTGGTGGTGGTAAAAAGTAAAGCCCAACATCTGGTGGATCGGATTTTGTGGCGCAGGGTCAGATGTGAATTTACCATGGTTGCACGGCGACTTCGCGAAGGCGCGCATCTTACAGTTTGGTCCCGCCCACTGATGTACCGCTGCCCTGGCCCAGGAATGGCTTCATCTTAATAAAGCCGTTTGCCCAAAGCCTCTTTCCAAAGAGCCACTAGATGGCTAAGGCAACAGATTTGGTTCTTTTCGAATACGACATAACAGGGAATTTAAAACGAATTTCATTAGAGAGGAAGGCAGCCACAATAGACGGTAGTTAAACGGCAGCGCATTTTAAGAAGGTCTTCTCTAGTTTTAAATTCTGTCATTCGTGGCACGCTCAAATCTTCGAAATCCCAAATGGAAAAGGTGTTGGATAGATCGAATGACCCCCTGAAAGTTAAATAGAATTCGATTCTGTGACAAGTGGTTATGGGAAGTTTTCACAGGGATGCTGCCAGCTTGACGCGGCCTGGGTGTAATTTGTGAGATAATTCTGGCTCAGCGCTTCCGAGTATTTTTTAATCGTATTAAATTGAATTAATTGTATCGTAATATATTCATCGTATTTTTTCATAAATTAATTCAGTGCTTTTCTGTAGCAGTTGGAGTGCTACTTCTGTCAGGAGGGCTTCGAGAAGGAGAAGGATCTCATCCAGCACGTGATCCACGCGCACAACGTCAACTCGCGCGAACTCCACTGCCACATTTGCGCCTTCAGTGCGCCCACCATCGGACGCTATCTCTGGCATCTCAGCAACTCCCATCCCCGCAAACACATCACGTATCATCCCTACAACGGTCCCAACGCGGATGCTGCGCCTACCATGACGACCGTCAGTGCCATGCCCAAAATCAGCAAGGTAAGAGTTATCGACTTCCGCTTGAGATTCATATGGTATGTTTATAATACGGACCTATGTGTGCTTCTCTAGAGAATCGATACAAAATTTGCAAGATTATTTTTTAAAATTTGTAATGAATCTTATATTTGTTAAATACTGTATTATATTAATTAATCGTTTAATTTTTTGTTTGCTGAAAATGTAGAGACTAAATTATTCAATTCGCTAATGACTTTTTTTTACAATTTCGTGTCGTGTTATTGCAATGTTGGTCAACGAGTCGTTGAAAGAATAAATTAATAAACAAATTGAATCAATTTTTAATTTTTTTTGTTAGGTATTTTCCCGGAAACGTCGGGCGGTGGAGGAGCCCAGTCCCCCGACAGATAACGGCGATGTGGATGGCGAGGACAGCGGGAGCAGTGTGAAGCAAGATGACGAGATGGCGGAGAACAACACCATTCCGCCGGCACTCCCGGAATTCGGGACGGGACCCGGCAGCGTCAAGTACGTCAGTCTGTTGAATCGCCGACTGCTGGACAGTGGTGGCGAGGGCACGGGCAGCGAGGGGAATTTGTATCTGCTGGTGGCCAATCAAGCGGGACAACCGCGACAACAGGACGGCAATGGAGGAATGGAATGGAAAGGTACAGTGAAGAAAAATTCCCTTTCCGTCTTGACCGGTAATTAGTAATAAATTCAGTTTAATGGATAACTTCATAACATTGATTTTAAACAAAATAAATCGATTTAAACGTTTAAAGCCACATTTTTCTCTTCAAAATTATTCTGGTCTTTGGAATAAAATCTCATCAAACGCTTCAATCACTTAATGAAACGTAGAAAAATCAAACCGAATATTGCAATTTCTGAATAAATAAGAATTGAATAGGTAAATCTGGAATAAATCGAAAACTAGACGTTAAACACTACATCGATATTAAATTTTAGTTTCTACAAGTTAGCCGAATTCATTGCCATGCACTTGATTAAAATATAAATTTTAGGACACCCTGTACGGTGAAAATGGGATAACAGAGATTAGAATAATTTTTGAGAAATAAAAATAAACAGTTATTTATTGTTAAATTTATTTTGATGATTGTAAATACCTGGTTTGTATTTTGTAGCCAGCAGCAGCCGCCGCAAAACCACGATGCCGGTGCGTCGCGTCCACTCGCCGACCGAGGACGACGCCGATCCGGGCGAGAAGCGCGAACACCCCGACACCGCCGACCAGACCGACCGCGAGACGGCAGACCCCGTCCCGCCGCCTCCGTCCGCCAGCGGCACGGACGCCGGCTCCGTCAACGGGAAGGCCGGTCCGGAGCACAAGTGCCCCTACTGCCTGATCGTGTACCCCGACAACGTCATGTATCTCCTGCACAAGATGCTGCATTCCCGTAATCAGCCGTACAAGTGCGCCGTCTGCCAGCATCTCTATCCCAATCGCTACGAGTTCTACGCGCACATCGTCAATCATCGGCCGTGAACGAGAGAGAGGAAGAGAAAAAGCGGGATATTTATTTTTTGTATAATTGAGCATTCCATGTTTGGTGTTGTGTGGAGAAGGTGTGGGTGTGGAGTGTGGATGGTGGGTGTTTGTTTGGCGGAGAATTTCCAGTATTTTTTGTGGAATTTAATTGTTTATTTTTTCTTTGGGAAATGACCATATTTTTCTGGCCTTTTGGGACGCGGTGCAATAATCCGATTAATAAATTTGAATGGTATTTGGAATCCGAATAAAATTGCTGTTTTTGTTGAAAGTATCATTAAGCGGCGTTTTTCCGGTACATTTTAAGTTTTAATGGAAAATCGACGTTTTTAACATTTTATTCCTTGTTTTCAGTTTATTTTTACTTTATTTAATGTATTTTTTAGTAGCCGGTATTATTTAATTTCCTATAAAAATTTTATATTAAAATTAAATAAATTACTACGTAACAAATATTGCGCATCTATATATCCGTAAATTTTCTTCTGTTAAGGAATGGGAACGGGTTTGGTGAATTACTGCGTTATCGGTCAGCGGAAATAAGTATGTGGGTTAGAGAGCGATTCAGTGGAATGCGAATATTTTTGACGACATCGTCGTCAACAAGGAGAATTGCACAGGCAGTGGAGTGGAATATTTGGCCATTTTGCCGGGTTGACTGCCAAGCCTGCAGCAGGCTAGCGATTAGGTTGGGTTAGCTTAACCTGATGGACTCTGGCCCTGGCATACTTTTCCCATCCTCGAAAATCAACGGATGACTGCAAATAGGCGACATAACACGACGCGTACACGGCAGACAAATTCCGGTTTAGCCAGTGCAGCGACATGTGTAAAGTAATGCACTGACGGTACAGTGCAGCCGGTGATATCATGAGCTGCTGGGCGATTTGACAGGCCGGGTGGCCTGATCGATCGGATGCGCAACAGGCAGAAAATCAGGGAAGAAAAACCAGCTTCCATGCTGGACAAACAAGATAACCGCAAGACAGTAGTGAGCAGTGGCGTCGCGAGTCGAACGGTTTGATCAAAGATGGTTAACAAACCCGACATCTAACAATATTAGTATTTTAGTATTCAGTATTTTCCAAAATTTTCTGAATTCCGAATAACTACAGACACAGTCCAGTGTACAAACTGATCTTTTAATTTTCTGCTGCTGTAAGTGTTTTTAGTTTCGTTTGCTACCTGTATTAGCCTAATCAGGTCACATTAAAAGTACGTATTAGAAATGCGAAAGACGTAGTACAACGGCTATCTAAAAGAAACTTCTGTATGGTTTCGATGTTATTAGATACCGGTTAGCAAGAAAATCAAGAAACGATTATTAGAAATTTAAATCAGATGCAAAGTAATTTGTAATTCAATTAAATTTTTATTTTTTTTTGCATGTTATAAGTCATAAAATCAAAGAAAGACAGAAAGCGTCAGTGTGGACTAACTTGTCTAAATTTGGACAAAATTTAAACCGATAAGCGACAGGATAAGCCAAGGCGGGCGTGGAAATCCCCTGAATTACATCCTGAGCGCGCCACCCAACGGGCTCAACATTTTTCCGCGCCGCTGTCGAGCGCGCAGTTGTTAAACCGCGGTCGCTCCACTTTGCGCGCGGGAGTGAACTTTGAGACTGGATTGTCAATAACAAAATTGTTATTGCGCCACGGCCAGTTGCGCCTGGCGTTGCGGGCGCCGCGGTGTATAAGCGTGTGGCACACAGGCAGCAGGAAACTGGTTAAACCAGTTGATCGGAAAATGCGTCCGGATGATAAAAAGTGCAGTGGCTGAGAAATGTCAGGCTAATCGCTATCTGCACTCTGGCTGAAAGTGAATGGCATACACTGGCGCAACACGCGCACTGAATGTGGGAAGGCAGGATAACGGCTATATTACATTGCTACAGACATGTCGTACAAGTCAACCTCGCTTCCTTTATTATCCAAGTCTGCATTTATCAGCGCACAGCTATCCGGTCATGTGTCTGGCTGTTTGATCTGGCTGGTTGATGGTGCGTTGACGGGGCCTGCGTGGCAGTACACTGGTTACTTGGTTAGTCAGCACAAAACACAAACGGCAAAAAGTGAAAAAGCCAGAGGAAAGGATTTCGCGGTTGTAAACGGGCACTCGAGCCGGCGACGTGGCTGTCTGGGGCACTCTGTGCTGGAAAAATACTGCCGCTTTCCAACGGCCCTGGCTTTCGCTGGCGTCATGAAAAGGAAGCGCGCCGCACTCTGTCATGGGTGACAAAAAATGGCACAATAAGCAACTGGGAGAAAAAAGCAGAGACGATGCCGATAAAGGCACATGATACGCAAATGACCTTGGGAAAATAATATCCGCTAATTTGTACAGTATATTTTTATTAACCGAAATAAATATAAATAAATACAAATTTAAAGGGTAAAAATCCTTTTACTTAAAGTTAGGAAGATTTACTTTATTTAACAGGTACACTAAATTGTGCGGTTGCTTTCGTAAAATTAGTATCTCAAAAACTTTCTTCCTTGTATAAGTATAAAAAATTTTAATACTAGTACTAAAACTTTGGTCTTGGAAGACATTCTGTTAAGTATTTATTGCAGCGCTTGCAGTTGTTAGGTTAATGTGCAGATACACCACCAGCCGGTTGAGATTACTGTACGAGACTGTAGACTTTAAAATTCCCCTGAAATCTACTCTGTGGCTGCGTCGATGAAATCGGCTGAACCCAGATTGCATTGATGCGCCCGGTTGGGCTTATCAGCTGAAAATATGTAGCCAGTGGAACACTTCCCATTCAAACGGCTTATCTGCTTCCATAACGGCAGACTGCCTTTTGCCCTGCACCTTTTCTGGCCTTATCAGCAGTCAGCCACCGTTCTGTTTGCTCAGGGAAGCGGCAGGAAATAGCATGTATGGATGTACCGCACTGCCATGTCACGCTGATCAGATGAGAAATCACCAGGAAGGCTAAAAACGCCCATAACTGGCGTCATCTGACAGCTCTTGGCGACGTGAGCGCAACCAGACAACGGATATTTTCCCAGGCTGGGTGGCAAGGAAAAAACACATAAAATTTTTTATTGCTGTATTGGATTACTCACAGAAATTCCAAAGCGAAAAAAAATTAAAACAGGAAAAGATCGCAGTGGTGATGAATAAGTAGGCAGAAAATTCCCTGTAGCATTTGCGATGTTTGGCGTGCTGTTTACAGAGTAATTAGTGGATGATGTAAAATGATGAAAAATAATTTCCGCTTTTTAAATCATCGACGGGAAAATGCGGCATCTTTGGCGCGCTAACGGCATTTTCTCTGTACTGCTGATTGATTTATGACAGGTTTGACAGAGTTATTTACCGGATGCGTTACAATGATTACCACCTTTTCCTTGATCTTTAAAATTAACTTCCTTAACGACGCTGCCGCACAGGTGCATTAGATGGGCATTTTTCGGCGGCAGCCAGCGGAAAAACGGAAAATGCTATCTGTTGCGCCTACAGGCTGAAAACGCCCAACGTTTCTCACCCAGGACACGTACGGTGCGTTGTTGGGGCATTCAACAAGCCATTCAAGACGATAATCATGCCCTGATTTCCAGCTTTGAACTGGCAACCGTATTTGCACTCGCACTCACACGGGCGCATATCCTTCCAGCTCGTACGTACGTGTGCATTGTGCTGGCTGAGTGCAGTGTCGTATTGAGCCGGTGGCTGTATGTGTGTGCGCGCGCATATTCCCACCCGTCGCTATCATCAGCCTGCAGCGCAGCCAGAACATAGTCCCATGGAAATCACACTTGAACATACACACACGCATAGCACGGCATACACACTCGCAGTAATCACAGGCGGTCTAAGAATAGTCCACATATCCTTTGCGAATTCCCCTTGGAAGAGTGCACGATTGCGAGACAGAGAGTGAGAGAGAGAAAGACGGTCATCGCAGTATTGAGAAACAGCCATCTTCTCATCCTACATATCCAGAAGGATTTGTCAGGCGCGCGTCGATCGCTGTATGTGCCAGGCCATTTTTAGTCCTGTGGTAATACGGCGCCTACTGCACCCGGCAAGACAGCATCTTCCTTTCAGCCAGAACCGGTTACATGGTTGTAATGTGCCGATCCGAGTGAACCACGCAGCGCACGATCGTCGTCAGTCGCATATTTTCACAGCCAGCGCAGAAATCAGGACCTGCTTACGCACTGGCGCCGAGGCTGAAATTTAACGTCCTAGAAAGTTCAAGATTTGGATCAAGAGACGATTTCCTGGAGTCAACGCTAAGCGTGGACAGTGGAAAAAGCCCGGACAATTCCCGGATTGGAAAAGTAAAGGAAGCAGCAACAGGTAAGCGGCCGTTTAAAATCAGTTAATTTTCTGAAAAAATCCCTGTTTTCGATAAAAACTTTAAACTAATAGTTATTAGCAATTTGTGTAAGTTTTCTATGATGATAAGAGAATATTAAGTACTTAGTTCCCAGCATCCCATCCTGTTTATGAGAAACAAGAGCGAACGATTCCGAAACAGCCGGAAAAATCTCTGAAACTCATTCTGGCTGTTTCCCTGTACGGATCACAGAATGACCAAAACAACCTACAGCCGCGAGGCAGATGCGCCATCGATATGCGCGCTAAATAAGCGGCGTCAGGCCGCTTTTCTGTACTTTGTGTCGAGACGGCCTGAACTTACAGGGAACATGATTGGCTGAGTCAGTGCGCGCTACTAAAGCAACAGTCGTTTTCTTTCTGGCACTTCTGTGTGAGGCATCGGTAAAGAATTCCAGAAATCCTGTTAGCACTTGGAAAAGAGTGTTGTGTGACTACGGCAGGCGCCGGTGCTACAGCTTACGTGGCTCCTAAATTATGCCTGTAAGGTATTTTTCCATCCGCACATGACAATGCCGGCGTATGGAACGGTGCGCCGAACGCGCGCGTCCGTTGAATAATCAGCCGGCAAAATTTTTGTCTATGTGTTCCCCTGTTGTGCTGTTTGCTTGGCGCATACAGCCCAATCATACTCTCTCCCTTGTATGGGTTTTATGGTTCTTCGAAAAGGCAATTTTGTGTACGTGTTGAGTGGCGCGCAAGAGACTTGTGTGTTGTGGCAGAGTGAGCGAGCGAAATTGGTTACGTGAGAGAGAACTAGTGATCCGCAAAACCTGTTGCTCCTTTGGCATACATGCGAGTATGCCGCGGCCGGGGCCATTATGCCAACAGGAAAATCACACGCTGCACGTTCGTTGCTTGCTGCTGCTGCTGTTGATGATGATGATGGCGTAAGGGCTGTTGGGCTGTTCTCATCGGGGTGATTAGACAATAGCACATTAATCAAGCAACAATTTTCCAGGTAACATACCATAAACATTAGATGTTACGCACATTCGTCTGGATTTTTCGAAACTGACCAGAAATTTTTTTAATGGAAAACATCAGCGTAAACTGTGTATGTATCATAATAAACAGTAACGGTGAAAATAGCGCGAAAAAAACAAAGCAGTTTGATGTTTCCCATGGTTAACGCCCAGAAATAATTTTTTCGGAAAATATTTCCTTATTCGGGCAACAAAAGATTATTCCACAAACTTCCTTTGTAAAATTTCTATGTGCAGTGCACATCATGTGGCGTACAGCCTGTCGCATTTACTACATTTTTCCAACCGGAAACGATGCGTTAAGCAGATAGCGCACGCGCTCGATGCAGCCCATCCTCCCCGGCTGACAGTCACAATGCGCGCTGTGCGTCAGCATAATCGGCATTCAGACGTCACTTATTTCCTGGATCAATATGCACATGTATAGATGCCATATAGCGCGCCGCGCCAATCCCTGCTTTGTCGTTGAGTGCCGACCCAAAAATGGGCAAACTGCTGATGCGTGCATACATGTGCTGGGAGCGTCCCAGAAAATCGATAAACTTTGTCGTTGGGGAGGAAGTCGATTGAGCACAGTATGATTCAGCCTGAGCCGACATATATTCCCTTGACCCGATTGTAATGGGAAAACAGCCGGTTTGAATATACATCGCTTGTTGATCTAAGCGGGCCGGGCGACATCGAGTGATAATGGTTACTGGAAAATCTTTTAAATGTTGCCGTTACGTACATATTAAAGGTTCTCCTTTGCGCAGTTAAACGGGATATGTTTTTAATTCCTTTCTAAAATTTTTCATATGAAGCGTGTAAAATCTACTGCACGCATATTATCAGATTCATTCGGACCGTCACACGTGTTAGGACTGTGGCAGAAGTAAGAATTAAAATTAATGGTATACCATCACAAATGAAAATATTAAACCATGCATTCTTATAATATGTAGCCCAGTGTCCATCGAAGTTGCCGGCGTTAGTTTTTACATCTTTATATATTATGTCGAATTAGACTGGACGAAGTTTTACCGATTTTATTTGGATTAACGCGTGCATATAACTGTTTTCGTAAATCATAATAATTAATAACTGTAAGCGTCATGTGAGCGATATGTACATTTTGGTGTTAACGAAAGGAAACCCGGAACTCCTTTCGGCTTATCTACCGAAGCAGTACATATGCGTAGTATTTAGAGGTGTGTTTGCTCCGTCACCTGACGATCCTGACCTATGCAGTGAATTTTATCCTTAACGTATCTTTCGAGTAATATTAACGGTGCACTGGGTATCGATGAGAGGTGTGTTTGCTCCGTCACCTGACGATCCTGACCTATGCAGTGAATTTTATCCTTAACGTATCTTTCGAGTAATATTAACGGTGCACTGGGTATCGAGCGCGCCACACTTGGCTAAGCAGGCTGATGGAGCGCTGGTGTGTGTTTTTTGCCATTCAGCCGTGTTTTTACTCCGTCTTTCTCCATCATCTCAGCGCGAGATGGGGTTTCTCGAGTAGGCAGTACTCTGCACAGCTGAATGCCGGATGGATGGATGGATGTCGGTCCGTTAGCACTTAATAGGCATCTCGAGCGCTTACACAGGTAACGCTTGTGCACCGCGACAGAGAAAAAGACACACGGTGAGAGAGGCTAAAGGAAAAACGAAGGCGAAGAAGATTAGTCAAGAGAAAATTGTCGGCTATCATCATCTTCACCGCGGCGCAGGTAGCCGGGGTGATTGGCGAGATTCATGGCTGCTGCAACGCTGCGGTACAGTGCAGGGCAGCCGGGCAACGCTCTCTCGACGGGCCGCGTTCCGCTTTCTTTGATTGGATGCAGTCAGTTGTGTTAAAGGTACAAATGTTGCGGTGCGCGCTAATTACCGGCTGGGTGGATGTGCGAGGCGGCCGTCCTTAAATGGGACAAATGTACCGGCATGAAGCCTTCGGGTACTCTCATGATCAGCATATAACAGACAGATACCGCCTTTTTTACATTATCTATAGTATTCCCGTTTATTTTTTCAGAAACATATTTCATGCTTCCTTAATTCAAACTTTTCTTAATTTCCCCAGAAAAAGTAATTAAGATTTCAGAAATTTTTGGTGAATTTTGAGAGCTTATACAACGGGATAATATTCTTATCCTTATTACACCGAACAAGAATTAAGGTATTCGAAATGGAAAAATGAAAGTTATGTAAAGCCAGTAAAAGTGAATAAAATTATCAAGCACTTCGGTAGAAAAGATTGACTTTTGAAACTGTTATAAAGATGCCGGTGAGCGTTTTATTATACGGAAGACATAGTACAACGTTTTGCCGGTGTTAAACCTTCCACTGCCCAATCTCGTACCGCAAACAGTACCGCCCGATTCACATCCAATTCTATCCATTCTCGGATGCGCGCGCGCAGGTTAACTGTAGCGCGCGCTGTATGTGTGCGTACTTCGCCGTACACATGCACCGCGCGGTCGAGGCGCACAGCACAATACAACGCCATCCACGAAAACCAGTTTACCTCCACGTCTGCTGCTTTTTTAGCGCCCCGCAACTATCACAGGAGCTGCGGGTTCATTTTCGCCATCTTTTCTTTTCTCGTCGCTGCTCTATGCTGAGCGGCAGTACATTCACCCGGTGTAAACGACTTCTTACAGGTTGATTGCGTCGTGTTTGTGTTCAGTGGATGAGTTCTGCCGCGGAAAGAGGCAGTCAGTCGGTTTCAGTGCGCGGCAGGATCAACCTGAGATTTTCTTACTTGTACCTTTTACAAAATAATCGCCACTTGTTTAACTCGTCGTATCCGGTGAAGACGCTTCTTCACTTGACGTTCCATTGCATACATTCCTTTTCCGTACAGTGTAAGTTCATGAACGCGGTATACTCACTCTGTATTATACTTTCCGTAAATTCTCCCTTATTTCCAATTTATTTCTAATCTTTCCGGCATGAAAAACGTAAGCATTTTAAATGTTTTCAAATATTTTAAAATTTCGTCACGGATGGTTTCGGGACATATGATTAAGAAGTTACAGCGATTACGGTAAAAAGTGGGCTGGGTTCTGGGAAAGCACTGCTGTTGTTTACTCTGCATTTTCAACCTGTTGCTCTATATGTGTATTACGCCATCGTGCATGCCAGCTTTGATTACCGCGACCCGGCGTCCGTTTTCTTCGGCTGCATGAATTGTGTCTTATGGCGCTGTCTTGACACACTTGCCAGTTCCTGTATCGACCAGTGTATAACGATACAAACATCATGTACACGATGGTACATATATCGCGGCGCGCACTTTCGTAATCCTTATTGAAAAGGATCGAGTGCGCGCGAGGCAGTTTAATAAGACAGTGCTCGCGATCGTCGCACCCGGCGCTAGCTGCACACCGGATGATGAAATTCCGCTCGGTGTGTTTTTTGATCTGGCTATTGGAGTGGTTTGAGGCTGTAGCTGTGTAGCTGTAGCTGTGTGTCCCCAGCCTGTCGCATGGTCGCTGCAGCGTCGTGTTTGAGTAAGCTTGGATGAGTTTGTTTAGACGGCAGCCTGTGCGCGCTAGCGGGCAGCCTAGTCCAAGCCGGTGAAGAGGTGTTGTTGCTGGCTTAGTTCAGGTGAATTTGAGCAGGGCCGGGTCAGGTCTACCTGTGCACAGGAGAGAGGACAGTTGATATGGCGAATGTACAGCTCGCTACAAACGGCCTTGGCACCAAACCTAGTGACGTGTGTACAAACAGGCTCTCGCACTGTATATTGCAGCGCGGCGCGGCATCCATCAACCGACGGTGGAATAGTCGCTGGATTGATTCACTTCCATGGCCATCGGTGTGTGTGCAAGCATAATCCGTATACTCGACCGGCCTGTCAGTGTTTCATAGCTCCAGGAATAAAAAATCGCAGCTAGCTGAGTTTCTTAGATTTCTTGGGTTTCTTAGACTGTCTGTCTCCATAAGGGGAGAAGCGTTGGTTCGGTGTTGACTCGAAGCGATAGTTAATCATCATAATCCACGCAGTTAATTATACTGGCTCCTTCCTTTTATTGACTCCGAGTGTACGCTGAAAAGGCACCGGTAATTACTGCAGCCGGTGACACAGATAAATATTCTTTTCTTGCACCGGTATGTGCCACCGCGTTGAGCAACAGGTGAATGAGTCTTACGGGTAGGAAATTATGTTTTGTCTTTTTGTCTCATTCTCTCTTTCTCATCGTTCGCCACACCGAACAGCGCCCTATTTGTTGGCGCGCACACAGCACATACACACATAATACATAGCACCTGATCCTGCTGTTATGTTGCCGGCGCGTACAGGTAAAACTGGCCGGATATTCGGAACACGGCGATGGCCATATGTGTGTGTATGTGTCTGTGTATGTGTGTGTGAGCGCCTTCACAGCCATGCCAATGTAGCACATCGATGCCACTAATATAGGTTCAGAGCGGCGTATCCTAGCGATTAGCCCTAGGCAGCGGTCGCACTCTCTCTCAATTCTCGCGCCACGGTTGTTTTGTGTGCTTGTGCCAGCTAAACTCGACCTGGCTGATCGCGCCGCGATGGCGATGATGGCCTTTATTTTTCTTAGGTTACCTCTTGAACTGTTATAGCCGCTGTGCATGTGACTCGGTATCCTCTGTATTCACATTCGCGCTTGTATCCTCTCCAGATTTAACGCACCATGACCACGGCCACATTAGCCCGCGGTCCTCCCATGGGACTCAATGTGGGAGGCAATCTCAGTATCGATGACGATGGGGACGGGATGATGGAGGGGATGGATGAGGAGGACAACAACATGTCCCGGGGCCGCGGTGGCCACAGCAGCCATTCCCGTAACAACCAGTCCCGTCGGGTGGAGACGTCGGCGTCCCGCGGTCAGCTGGTCATCGCCGAGGAGCCGGATGGGGAGAGCGATGAGGGCGACTACAACGGGGAGACCGCGGTTGACTACTCCAATCCCGGGAAGCAGGGATCCTCCGACGGGGAAGGGGATCAGGACCGGGATACCGGCGACGATCAGGAACAGGAGACGGAACAGGACAACGACCAGGATATGGATCAGGACGATATGCAGAACGGCAGTATTCCCGTAAGTCCCGTTTATAATTACAAAACTCAATCCCAATCACGAAGGTGTTTCAGTTTAAGTGAACTGTGTTTGAGGCTTGGGCGTGTCTGTTCCGATTACATTGGTTATAATTACGTATGCATAAGATATTCGGTACCGGTAGCGAAGTGTCATGTAAGAACAAAGCGCATAGAATTTTGCCGGCAGCGGCTCGCAAGGATGAAGACCGTTCTTTAATGGGTTGTGTGTGATTAATTTCCGGCGGTGCTCGGCGAAAAAACACAGCTAGTGCTGTGACCCGAATCGGCGACGCTGCCAGTCCAGCTTTACCGCTCGCTGTTGTTCAGTACAGCGCGCAACAGGCTGGTTAGTCCAGCAGCACACAGGGTCATATGCGGGGCCGGTCGGCGACACCGTTTTTGTGCCTTGCGGACATATGTGGATCGCTGCTGTCGTTTTGAGTGCTGCTGCAGCAGCCACTGGTTGCCGGTATATTATGACAATGAGTTTCCGAGTGGCGGGAGCGAAGCCGTACAGTTTTGGCTGTTATGGCGCGCTGGCAATGATAATACAGGTGCGCACTTGTGCAGTGCAGTGCCGACCGCGAGGTGAGTAACCTCTCCACCACGGCATTCTCAGCCCATGGGAATCTTGAGCCAGTGTGCGCGCGGCAGAACGGGTTTTCTGCTGCGTTGGTGGATTCACGGAAAGCCGGTTTCAGTGCTGCGCCGGACTCTTGCTTCCTCTAAATGAGCCACTTTCCCCTGTTTTCCTTCAAAAGCAGACTAGTGTCGAAATTAAATCCACAGTGCACATTGCATGTCATAACTTGACAATCAACAAGGAAGCTGTTTTTACAATCCCATTTCATTATTATTCTACTAAAAATTATTATTAGGATAAATCCAAGCGGTGTAAATATTTCATAATCCGTTAGCGTTAATCCGTTAGCGTTTTCTACATGTTTTCCCAGTTAGCATAATGCGGCCCCGCCCACGCAGCATTAATCATTGATTTCTTTCCACTATTGTCTCGTCAGAAATAACGAACGGCATTCCATGTTGAAGAGCATGCCGGTGATTGTTTGGCGTAAATAAATGCTAGAGTGGCATTTGTCAAAGAATGCCTCTATCCACCGGACCCGTAACACGGTGCACATCTGTCCGGTGGTATAGCGGCATACAGACGGAAGCGCGATGCTGGCTGTTGACAGAGGGAATTGGCAACGAGCTTGGTATCCGTGTGTATCTGTTTAAAATGCCGTAAGATGATTACAAGTGCGCAGTGCTTAATTCGTTCTCGTGTCGGCACCGGCTGACCAGTAAAGACAGACAGATAACTATCCGCTGCATCACGGTACACAAACAGGTTTGCCGGGGATCCTGTTGACGCACAACATTGCGAAGAAATCTGGAAAAATTAGGTCGAAGATAGTTGACTCATGGAACATCCTGTTCAGTAATTTCTGGGCACTTCTTAGAGCTACAGTTTCAGTTATTAAACTTTCCCGTTAAATTTATAATACCGTAAGTAGTTTATATGCACGTACATGATACCGGAAGTCAGGTTCTCAATGGAGTTTATAGGTAAAATTGTGGAAAAAAATAACACTTAGTTTCCGAAAGGTTTTCTTGAGATTTCTTAGAGGCACAGGCGACGCTTGAGTTGCTGTCATCTTTTGCGCGAGCAGCGCATTCACCCAGTAATTACCGCGAGGCTGAATGGCCTAGGTGGACACGGTCTGTATTGTTCACCCAGTACATCTCACTGATCTCGGCTGGCGACATCCGTGAAGATTAGTTGCAGCGTGGCAAAATAAGGAGGTCGGCCCCCGTCAGCATCGCACACAGCGTTCTTCGCTGTTTCTCATCCAACACGCACATACCGCATATCACATTTATATACAGCGGGAGTGATTATGCTGCCGGTGCTGTCCAGCTCGAATTCGAAGTGTCCATCAGCTGTGCGGCACTAATCGTCCAATTGAATTCATAATCGACATAAGCGCCATTTGCCGGTCTTCATAGACTTTTATATCGACAACACAGAGAAAAAACTGGTTGGGCTGAATGATGCGCGGCAGTTGGTAGTTTAGTATGGGTACATTGACCTCATTCGGTCTCCTTGCACGACGTGTCCTGTCAGCTTACAGAAACGCAGTGAATCGTATAGAAAAAAAGGAAAAATAATTGCTCAGTACATCTGTTTAATAAAATAATTTTTGTAATAAATTACCAATGATTTCTTTTACAGAGTTACGATGAGTATCAGCACATGAACGATCGTAACGGGCGCAACGGCACATCCGGTGGGTCAGCGCAGGCGTATGGCGGCAAGGCGGGGTCCGTGGACTCTTCGGGACTGATGGCGGCGCCCAACCACACCGGCTCCAAGGCGGCCGCCGCCGGGAAGAACGGGAAGAGCTTTGTCTGCGACATCTGTCTGAAGACCTTCTCCAATGCGGCCAATATGCGCCGACATCGGGTGCGTCATTCCGGCGTGAAGCCCTTCGAATGCCGCTTCTGTCAGAAACGCTTCTTCCGCAAGGATCACATGCGCGAGCACATGAACCACAAGCACAACAATACACAGGTACTGGTGACCTTTGAAAACGTATGCCTGGTGAATACGTACGAATACATGTAAAGTACGTATGAATACATGTAATACGCCTGGTGAAAAACATGTACAGGTTATAAAATAAGTTTACATTTTAATGAATTAGAATATTAAAAATTTGAAAACCACCGTTCGTAAAGGTCACATTCGTTCTTTTGTGTGCAGATGGAATGCTACTTCTGTCAGCAAGTCTTTGACAAAGAGAAAGACCTCTTCCACCACGTGACCCGCGACCACGACGTTAACCCCCGCGAACTGCACTGTCACTACTGCTCCTTCAGCGCCACCACCCTGGGGCGCTACCTGTGGCATCTGACCACCTCCCACCCGCGCAAGAACTCCCACTACCTGGACTCCTCCTCCGGCGAGCCGCTCTCCATGTCCATGGCCCCCTACACCCTCGACGCCGACTTCGACACCACCGAGACCCCCGCCGCCCGCTCCCGCACCGCGCCCCAACAGCACCCGGCCTACAACGACCTCCCGACGAAATCGCGGGAGTATGAGCCGTACAGCCGGCGCGAACGGGACGGCAATGCGTCGCCTCCCACCGAGACCACACATTCCAAGTTGAACGGCGCCCTGAATCGGGGAAGCGGGTATTACGAGGAGACGGGAAACCTGGCGGCCGCGTTGGCCGGGAAGTCGAACGGGTCGGCGGCCCGGCGTCCGGTGCAGTATGTGTCGCTGCTGCCGTCACACCTGCTGGATGGACAAGGCGGGGCGGAGGATCTGAGCGGGTACGCGAGGAATGGCGGGGAAGGCGGACATGCCGAGGACCTGTCCGGAGGTTACGGAGGGTATCCGGAGAACTCCAAACTGGCATATGCACTGTTTCCCGATCGAATTAAGAAGATGAACGGAGCGACGAATCCGTCGGGGACCAGTAGTGCTGCTGTGGCGGCGGCAGCGGCTGCTGCGATGGCCGCCGCCGCGGCGCGGAATGCCGAGATGGGAGGGATGCCGTTGTCTTCCGCTACAGGTAATTTTGATTAAGCCATTAAATTAACGAATTATTTTATACAGATTTTGTTAATATTATTAGTATAAAATTTTACTGTTTATAAATTTCATTATTTTTTTAATTTTATCATTATTTTTTTACAATTAATTTATCGTCCATTCATTTGCGAAATAAGCCCTTTAAATCCACTTAAATGTTTTTTGCTAATAATTATTTAAATTTCTAGGCAGCAGCAACCGTCGCAAGTCGAAAGCCCCGGTGCGGATGGCCGCCAGTCCCGATGACCTTTCCGGACAGCCGGCCGATGCCGCCGGTGCGGAGAATCCACCGCGCGGCACCAAACGCGAATATCCTTATCCAGAAGAAACCCGCAACGGAAACTCAGATTCCCACTATTCCCCCATGTTGGAGGAGGTCATGTCGCACTCCCACCGCGACCGCCAGGCCCATCAAGCCGAGGACCTCTCCGTCAACAACCCCCCGGCGGCGGCGGCCGTTCCCTCGTCACGCAACACCGGCGTCATCCAGCGGAAGGCCTCTACCAACAACGGCGGCCCGACACCCTCGGCCAACGGCATCGCCAACACCGCCACCAGCGGGGCGGGTGCCGCCGAGGGCGACAGTGAGCACAAGTGTCCGTACTGTCTGATCGTGTATCCGGACAACGTCATGTATTTATTGCACAAGATGCTGCACGTCCGCAATCAGCCGTACAAATGCGCGATTTGCACCACGGTGTACCCGAACCGGTATGAATTCTACGCGCATGTCGTCAACCACCGAGCTACATAAAACGGCGGTTACGTGACGGCCGGGGGCAATGCAATAAAGGGTTGGTCGCCATGGGACGGCGGTTGTGTGTGGATTAATTTGTTGAAGTGGAAATCGACGGGGGGTGGCGTTTACGTGACGCGCTGGACGGTGACCAAGCGTTGTTTGTTGGAGTGGGAATTCTCTCTCTTCTCTGTCTCTCTCTTTTCTCTGTTTTTTTTGTATAAATTTATAGTTTTTAACAGCGTTTTTATGCTGCATTATTAATTATTATTTCGGCGACGGTGAGCGCGCGCGCGGCATTTTGTTGGTTAAATTCGACGGTGTTTTTTCCACGTTTCCGGTTGATTTGTGATATAGTGTCTCCACGTGTAGCTATCATTTTTTGTGCTGCTTTCGACAAGTTCTAACAAAATTATTATTAGTTCAGCATATTGAATTGGCAGTATTCGCAATAACCTTCTATTTGGCGTCGGCATATAAGATACTTGTAGTTGATAAACAAATGCAGACTGATGCAATGTAATATCGATATAACGTAAATTATCATATCACGAGTATTTCTTATCTTTGATCCAAACGTAAAACATTCATTATAAACCGAAGAAAATCACAAAATGAATAAGAGCGCCATTTTCGCGATCTGCGCTAATGATAAAAATGCGAGTGTCCTTCGAGTCTTCGACCACGTGTAATCTTTAATAATCAAAACCAGAACGTAATGAAGAATCAATAGGAATAACTGAGATCAAAAACTAGACGTTCGCCAGGGGAAGCATAGCCATAAAAGCCAGTAAGCTCCACGTTGGCAGCTAGAGCAACCCTCTCGGTCTCCACAATCTCTTCGCGACGATTGTCTTCCCTCCGAATGACCAGCTTCGACTGGCGATTACCAACAATTTTCGCCAGCTGCCAGTGATCCGCCGGGCCCGGTACAAACACCGCATCGCCTAGCTGGAATCCCGTGGGCATCGGAACGGTGTGACGCTGCTCCGTGGGGAAGGGCAGCGTCGGCTTCAGGGCGGCATTTTGGTACAGGAAAATGCTCAACAGCTCGGTTTCCGACAGCAGACCACCCTATTAATAAAATAACTCATGTTTAAATCACACAGAATATAAATCTCGATTTCCAGCAGTCAAACCCAGCAGTTATTATGCTCACCGTCGCAGGACCATCCGACAGTTGCGCGGCCGTCAGCAAGGGAAAGCGCACCAGGAATAACGCTTCGCCCAGCATCTGACGCCGGTTGGCAGCGGACGGCTCCATGTTATTCCGCTTACAGGCTTCGGTGGCCCACCTGCAAAAGACCACTGAGACCTGAAAGACTCGTATCAGTCGTATGCGTCACCGTTATACAGTGGAAGCGACGGTACTAATTACTATTCCTACGTAACAGCGGTACCACTATGATGAGCACTATCTGATATCTGTATATCTATCCAGTATCCCACAATGATGAAGTAGAGCATAAAAACTACCAGTAATTCTTAACAAATACCTCTCGATAGCCGAATAAATATCCTGCTCTCCAGCCGACAGTGTATCGCGTTGCAGTATGGTGCGCAATGTGTCCTGACGGATGCATGTGAAGTGATCCGATCGCAGAATCTCTTCCGTCTTCTCATCCAGCAAACGCCAGCACTTCTCCACAATAGTATCAGCGTGCCACTGCACTGCCTGTAAAACAGTTACAGGCTCCTTCAGTCGAAATAAGTTAAAGACCCACCTACGGAATAACTAGAAAAATAATAAGTACCTAATATCAACAAAGTAATAATATTATGTTTGTTTTATTAATATTTTGTATCATTTTATTCGTTATTTTGCTCACCAGTACAGTACCGTTAATTAAAATTCGATATCTCCAAGTGTTGTAGGCATGAATCGTTCAGATAAATGACAAATTGATAAAAAAAAAAGATTTAATTAAATTACAAATAAGCAAGTCTCACTTGTTCCAACGCGAACAAACAATTATCAACGTCCAGCTGGCTGTAAATCATCGATAAGCAGATTTGCACCAGGGGAGCCACGTCGTATTTGTCGGCGCAGTTCATGGTGTGGAAAACATTGTCAGCGTTGAGATTCTCCGCTTCATCCGTGTACATGTAGCTGGCAAGTTGAGAAAAGAGAAAATCAGAATTCAAACGTTGAAGCAATTTCTAAAAATTTTCCCCCAACCAAACGCCACTGATTCATTCATTTTAATTACCTGTTCTGGCTGTTCATAATAATTCATTCAGAAATATCTGTTAATGATTTGGCTGGCCAATACGTACTTCTAGTTAAGTGTGTACCTGAGCATATTGGCGAATGCGTCAGGCATGAAATCCGGAATATCGATGGGCACGGCGCAGTTCTCGGGTAAACTCCCGTAGAACATGGCGCGAAACACGGAGCTGCGCATCGCCAAGATGTGCCTACAAAAATTATCGATGAAAGACGGACAGATGGTGCAGAGTATGCCGTTCGCTGTTTCTTTAGCAAAATCTCATAGTGAGGCACTGAGACAGAAACACTCATGAAGTACTTGTGAGCTTCGAAGGTTTTCACAGGGCCAAAATGACGGCCAACGGTAAAACGCACATCGCTGAATTCTCCACTGGTTAACGTCTGCTTCATGCAGCTGACGAGTCCCGCAGCAGGTTCTCCGTGTCGAGAACGTTTGGAGGCCGCCATTCTGGTGGGAAATGGCTAACAAGACAACAGTATAATGCGTATTAATTTTCTACTTAACGCAGCTCGTAGATTACCAACAGCAATATGTACAGATCCTGGCGATTCCAGATAGTATAGGAGACCCCGCGCAAACTGCGCGGAATAAATCAGTGATAGATTAAAATGCAGAGAAAATTGAGAAATATATAAGCTCATCGTTGTTCGTGACATCTAAGATACGTACGTTGTCAAATTCAGATATATTCTACGCTCCGTTGGATTCATTCATGCTTAGAAATTTAAAAATTTAAAACTTCGCATAATTTAAAATAAGGTGCTGCTACTGTACTCGTAGTCGTAGCTGGGTTCACTGTTTTACCGAAGATTCTATATTGATCTTTCTGTGTTAACATTTCCCCGTTCGGTGCACTGCAGAAAAAACCGTAATAAACTTCAAAACTTGCCGTTAATATAGTATGTGCTGTTTTATAGAAATTCCTTTGAGTTTTTTTCTTTATCAGTCTGCTATTCTTTGAATTGTAAAATATTGCCCGTTGTTATGTATTAGAATTTTGGCCAGCCAGTGCGGCCACACTTATCAAGTCATTAGCATACTTCCAGTCATGGGTTTTTTAAATTTCGGTTTGTCCGGTAACAATGCCCAGATCGCAGTCACTCACGACGCAGTGTCTGATTGTGTCTCGCTTATTACATTCTTATACTCGAACATATGAGTCCTATCTGTATTGCTGCTCCGCAAGCTCCCTAGCGCCGGCGCTAGGGGTCAGCTGCGGCTTCGCCTTCTGTTACAATAGCGTCATTACACAACAACGTCGTGAATAATAATTTAAATTAACTAATTAATTAATTCATAATAATCATTTAATTTCACAGCAGCGTCGTGAATAATTCGCACTTCCGCTACTTAGCACCACATTCTAATACAACCGCGTAAAATCCATACTACGGTGCCACCGTACTACGGTGGCACCGTAGTATGGATTCTGTGGCACCGGTTGTACGGTAGGCAAGTGATAACGGCACGCGCAGCCGCCCTTGGAGGCGCTACAATAAAGAAGCTCGAACAACTGCGAAGGACAGCTACTTGAAAAACTGGGTTTGCACTTTGCAGCTATTCCGTACTCGCGGACTGCTTTGCCTGATCTTTCTGACTTCTTCAGCTCTAACTGTCTTGCAAACAAAAATTTCTGGTAAAAAATATATAAACCACGGCTATAAGGTGATACATGTCATTACATAAGCACCCCATTCGAAGAAGAGCTTGAATAACGGCGTTTCAGCTGTCGACTCAAGACAGTGGTGGGGGTGGTCGATTTAGCAGTGGTGGGTTCCTCACTTTTCCCATAGACTTTGTATGTTAACTTTTCTTAAACTTTTCTTTTAAATTTTACATTTTTCTCAAAAACTGATTCTTGTCGCGCCATCTGCAAACCTGGCGCTATCGAATGATATATAGACACCCAAGTTTCGTTAAGTGTGTCGCTCAGAAAAGGGAGCTTTGTATGGAATTCGCTAAGGCTTATTTTACTAATATATAGAGATCAGATTCAATTAACATGTTAATGTTAATGTACAAAGAACTGCTGCGGCAGTTTGAGGCTTTAACGAGAATTTAGAGAGAAGATACATTTCACATGGGATAAGTACAAGAAAACCTCGACAATACGAGTCGACATACCGCACGTACAGAGTACTGAAACGGAAAACATCCAACAAACAGTTACAAACTCACCAAAAAAGTTGAAAAAACACTGTCTGCAAAAATGTACATTGTACAATACATAGTGCTTACTGCATAGAGAGCGGTTTCTCTGGGCGGTTGCAATATCACCGAATGTAACGCCACAGTAACAGTCACACAGTGTTATGTACAGTAGTTTATCGTTAGTACAAATACCTATATCTCCCTACCTTTCAAATAAGTTTTTTTCCAAGTTTATAACAGTCAATTTTCGCATTGAGCTTTATTTCCACTAATTTTGTCTACGTTTTCGGAACAGGGATCTGGTAGATCCCCCGCCGTGCTTTTTATAGGGCTCCTGACTCCTTTGTCCCGGATTGGTTCAGACAGCTGCAACCTCGTCAAGGGAAAGTAAATAACCTTTCCGGCTAGCCAGCTTTCCGGTGCTCGTTGTTCTGGATAAATAATAAAATTTAATAAGGTCCTAGCAAGCATATACGGGTATGTGTTGGTTAAACTCACAAACTGGACAGCTTTTTTCGACGTTTCGGACTTTCGCGCTGGATTTGGACGAAGTGCATTGTGATCAATACTGCAACAGCAGCCGGTTAAAACTGCTGTTCTAGTTGGATGGTTAATCCACCGTACCACGATGTAGCGGCTGTTAAGGCTAACTGACAATCAAAAGGCTGGCACGGTCAGCAGCGATGCTGACCGGAAGTAAGGTGGCAATTACACAACTACACTGTGTGAGATGAGACGATTCATCTCAACGTGATTACAAACAACAACGCAAGACATGGCAGTCACGGCAAGATTCTTATTAGCAAGTATCTTAGCTTGTGCAACACGTCGTGTACTATGCGGAAGTTGTCGGCTAATTTCTGTAGACGCTTAGGAGCTTTACTGTACTCTGTAGTATCCGAAAGAAGTATTGTTATTTTCGAAATAAATTCGTCTGTTGATTGTTCAGATTTTAATCTAGTATGTACCGGGTCGGACTGTATACTGTACAGTGGTATGTCGCAATCGTCACTGTCGTCTGCTGGTTCGTGGGGATTGCGGCTAAGCAGGTCGGCGTCTTGGTGGAGACGTCCCTTGCGATACTGTATCTTAAAATCATATTCCTGTAGAAGTAGTGACCATCTATTTAATCTTCCTTGAGGTTCTTTTAGGTTAAGCAGGTACTGTAGAGCTGAATGGTCTGATATTACTACGAAGTGCTTGCCTGCTAAATAATGTTTGAATTTTTTAATGGCAAAGACAATAGCATATAACTTTTTCAGAAACTGGATAATTTGCCTGACGTTTATCTAACATCTTAGACGCATATGCGACGGTGTGCCAACCGTCTGTATGCTCTTGTTCTAATATAGCACCAACTCCGACGCCGGAGGCGTCCGTTTTGATTTGTGTATTTAATTTGTGGTCGAACGGCTTCAAAACTGGAGCACGGCTCAAACATTCTTTTAACTGGTCAAAAGCTTGTTGTTCTTTTGGTGTCCATATGAAAGAAACATTTTTCCGTGTAAGATGTAGAAGCGGTGCGGATAATGTGGAGAAATTGTCAATGAATTGACGATAGTAACTCAGTGCACCTATAAACGATTTAATCTCTTTCGGGGATTTCGGTGTTGGAAATGCGGAAATAGCGCTGATTTTAGCTGGATCCGGTTGTATGCCGGTGCTACTGATAATATGCCCTAAGAACTTAATCTGTGTGAAACCGATCTCACATTTTGTAGGGGAGATTGTGAAACCTGCTGTGCTTACAGCGTCTAATACCTTTTCTAACAGTTCGCAATGTTCGGTAAAAGTTGCTCCGCCTACTAAAACATCATCTATGTAACAGATGACTCCGTGCCATTTTAAATGGCTTAATATGGAGTCCATAGCTCTTTGAAATGTGGCGGGACCACCGCACAATCCAAAGGGCATTCTTAAAAACTCAAATTGACCGTCCATGGTCACGAAGGATGTTTTCGGTATGTCTTTCGGAGCCATTCTAATTTGCCAAAAACCCGAATTAAAATCTAGACTTGAAAAATATTTAGAATTTCCAAAGCACGATATTGCGTCATCAATTCTTGGAAGAGGCCACAAAGGTCTGCTAGTCACAGCATTTAAACCACGCAAGTCACAACAGAATCTGGGCGGCTTCGTTGACCCTTTACGTTTTACAAGTAACACTGGGCATGCCCAAGGAGATGTGGATGGGCGAATGACGTTCTGATCTAACATTTCCTGTACTTGCGCGTTAATTTGTATTCTTTGTGCATAGGACACGCGGTAAGGAAGTTTTTTCACTGGCTGATTGTTTCCTGTGTCGATCTCGTGCATAATGTTGCCACAATCACCGAGCGGCCTATCCTTACAAGGAAACACTTTTTGATATTTCACAAATAATCTGACTAATATATTTCGCTCTTCCGTAGATAATCCTGAATGAAACTTTATTGTTTTAATGTGTTGCATCAACTCATCTTTATCTATGCCGGTAATATCTGACGATTCTAATTTTGTTATCGGCACTTCTGCTACTGCATCTACAGGTTCCATATGACCAATAAGTACACCTCGTTTGAGTTTAATATCTTTATCAGAAAAGTTAGTTATTAGTATGTTAATTTTTCCGTTCTCTGAGCGTACCACACTATTTGGAACTGCTACAAGATGACTATGTAATAGTAATTTGTTTCCCAATACGAGTACGTCTCCGTTGTAAATGTCAGGCGCTGAAAGTGTCAATATCGTGCCGTGCTTTGCTGGCAACACTGTGGTAGATGCTAGTTTTATGCCGGCTCGATCCCATGTGATGTCATTCACTGGTTCTGGTGAGCAAGGCATTTCCGTGTCCAGCGGTGGCGGCCAGGGTGGCACGCGAGGCAGTGCCGGTGAATCTGACCTTTCGTGCGCGCCGGTGTGCGAGTCCGTCGCAGTAGATTGCAGCGGAGCTGCATGCGAATGCGCGGACTGAGAGGTGCAAACTGTCTTCTCAGCCGACGGGCTTGAAGCAATGTCAGAGTGCACTGGGGGCATAATGTGCGCCGGTGGCACGACAGGAGTGAGTGCCAGTGGCAATGGGGAGGGGACGGGCGCCGGTGGCGGCGTGGGAGAGTTAGTACTGTGTACTGTACTCGTATTTTCGACATGCTCATCCGCAAACAACGATAATGGTGTATTGGTTGCGGTAGACATGTTCAATACAGATACTTCACGAGGTACTGTATGTATGTCCGAGCTGATGCTATCACTTTCGGCATCCTTTTCTGTAATAGAATTATTGTGTAAGCGGTGACGGTGTGCTTTCTTAAGGTGCTGGTGGTATTGTTGTACGAAGTTTGTACGCGGTATAAAAGTGTCCGCGAACATCATGTCCTGTACATCGGAAACTACACGTTCTCGACTGAGTAATTTGTTGACTCTGTGTTTTGCATCCTCGACTCCGAAGTATAATTTTCCAGTGTAGCTGTTTATCCACAGATTGTGCTCTTTAAGGAAATCGTTACCGAGAATAATGTTTTCGTATGGCAAGTCGCACACAATGAATATATAATGTTGTAGTGTACGATGTTCGAATGTAATAGTAATTTCACTGAAGTACGTGTTCTTAGCTTGAAACTTTTCAGAAATGGTAGCAAAACGTAATTTAGGAGCATCTTTA